GCGCTTTATTGTAGAAATGAGGTCTTGCTAAGTTACCTAGGCTGGTCTCCAACCTCCGGGCTCAGGCAATCCTCTCACCTCAGCCTCCCAAGGTGCTAGGATTACAGGTTGATTCACTGCGCCCTGTTTTCTGAAAAAGCTTTCTAAGTTTGATGCTATTGTTTATTTTATTTTATTTTTTTTTGAGTTGGAGTCTCACTGTCACCCAGACTGGAGTGCAGTGGCCGCTCCCGGCCACCGCAGCCTCGACCTGCTGGGCTCTGGTGATCCTTCCGCCTCAGCCTTCCAAGTAGCTGGAACTACAGGCGCACGCTACCACATCTGGCTAATTTTAAAAAATTTATTGTAGAGATGAGGTTTCGCTGAGACCTGTGGGCTCAGGCAATCCACTCATGTCAGCCTCCCAAAGGCACGGGATTACAAGCTGAGCCACCAAGCCCGGCTTTTGTTTATTTCTTGAATGTTTGATAGAATTTTCCACTAAAATAATCTGAGTTTGGAGTTTGCTTTTTGGGATGGTTTTTGAAAGCAGATTGAAAATTTTTAATAGATATAGGGCTATTGAGATTTTTTTTTTCAGTGTCAGTTTTGGCAAGTTGTACTTGTTAGAAATCTGTTCATTTCATCTGTGTTATTGAATTTATAAGTATAAAGTTGTTGGCCAGGCGCAATGGCTCTTGCCTAAAATCCTAGCACTTTGGGAGACCGAGGTGAGAGGATTGACTGAGCCCATGGGTTCGAGACCAGCTGGGTGGTGGCGTGTGCCAGTAGTTCCAGCTACTTGGAAGGCTGAGGTGGAAGGATCACTGAGCCCAGAAGGTCGAAGATGCAGTGGCCGTGAGTGTGCCACGGTACTCCAGCCTGGGTGACAGAGTGAGGCTCCAACTCCCAACAATAAAAATAATAAAAAGTTCATAGTTTTCTCTTATTATCCTTTTTTTTGAGTCAGTGTCTCACTGTTGCCCAGGTTGGAGTGCAGTGGCACACTCATGGCCAGTGCAGCCTCAATCTGCTGGGCTCAGGCAAACCTTCTGCCTCAGTCTTCCAAGAAGCTGGAACCACAGGTGCTAACTTTTTTATTTATTGTTGAGATGAGGTCTTGCCAGGTTGCCCAGGCTGTTCTTGAACCCCTGGACTCAGACAGTCCTCTCGCCTGTATCTCCATCTCTCCAGAATTTTTAGCTATAACCAGTTAAAATGGGATGGGTTGTTAGACTGATGCAACAGAACTGGAGCCTCTGTCCTTTTATTTCTTCTTGACCCAGGGGTTATTTAGAAGTGTAGTTTGGGCTTAATTTTATTTCCAAGAGGTTATATTTAAGGGTATATCCCTAAACTAACTAAGAATCTGTTTTTATTGATAAAAGATCCAGTCTACCAGGATTTTTAAATTTTATGATGCAAAATCTCTTATATAAGGTAGATAAAGAAAAAAATAGTTGGAAGCTCAAAGAGAATTTAATTAAAGTGGAATCATAACAGAAGATTTAAAACAACTTTTTCAGCTTTTGACAGAGGATTTGAAAAAAAAATTAATTTAGTCAGTATATTTCATTTAATTGTTAGCTGCAAAGAGATACTTTATTGCCATTCTTTTAAATGCCTCGTGTGAAACACTTATTTTTTATTTATGTATTTTTTGAGTTGGAGTCTCACTCTGTCTCCCATGCTGGAGTGCAGTGGCACTCTCACGGCCACCACAGCCTCGACCTACTGAGCTCAGGTGATCTTTCCGCCTCAGCCTTCCAAGTAGCTGGAACTACAGGCGTGCACCACCATGCCCGGCTAATTTTTTATTTATTGTAGAGACGAGGGCTCACCAAGTTGCCCTGGCTGGTCTTGAACCCCTGGACTCAGGCAATCCTCTCTCCTCGGCCTCCCAAAGTGCTGGGATTACATGCTTGAGTTACAGTGCCTGGCCCAAAGCATTTATTTAAAGTCAAAACAAGTTGGGTTTGGTGGCTCAGCCTGTAATCCCGCGCTTTGGGAAGCTGAGGTGAGTGGATTGCCTGAGCCTGTGGATTCAAGACCCGCCTGGGCAACTTGGCAAGATCTTATCTCTACAATAATTCAAAAAATTAGTCGGGCGTGGTAGCACGTGCCTGTAGTTCCAGCTACTTAGAAGACTGAAGCAGAAGGATCGCTGGAGCCCAGCAGGTAGAAGTTGCAGTGGCCAGGAGTGGCCACTGCACTCCAGTCTGGGCAACAGAGTGAGACGCCAACTCAAAAAAAAAAAAAAAAAATCAAAACAAAACAAAATACTAGGCCACATAGAAAATCTCAAGTACTCCAAAGTGTGTTTATGTGCATTCTAGGCTACAGGGAAACAAAGTCAAAAGTTTGGGTATTTTTCTCTTCATTCTTGAAGTTACAACTTGTAAAATAATCTACATGTATGATTGCTGTGTAGCCAGCCGGGCTCGGTGGCTCAGGGAGACAGAGTAAGACTCCAACTCAAAAAAAAAAAAAAAATTGCTGTGTAACTGGTCTATTACCTGAGATTACGTCTTTGTTAGTCTGAGAGACAAAAAATGTACTCCAGTTTGTACATTTGGTTATGGGTAAGGTTTATTGACCATTATTTATTCTTGTAAATTGCATATTTATAACCATCATTCATTTTTTCCATTGGTTGTCCATCTTTTTATCTTTTTTTTTTTGAGTTGGAGCTTCACTCTGTCACCCAGACTGGAGTGCAGTGGCTGCTCCCAGCCACCGCAGCCGCAACCTGCTGGGCTCCGGCGATCCTTCCGCCTCAGTCTTCCAAGTAGCTGGAACTACAGGCATGCGCTACCACGCCTGACTAATTTTTAATTTATTGTAGATATGAGGTCTTGCCAAGTTGCCCAGGCGGTCTTGAACCCACGGGCTCAGGCAATCCACTCACCTCAACCTCCCAAAGCGTGGCATCTTTTTATCTTTATTTATAAGATTTTTTTTAGAATGTTAACTCTGTCATATGTTTCAAATATTTTTCTCAATTTATTTGACATTTCTTTAGTAGGCTCATTTCCCCCACCACTGCCCCATGCAAAACTTTTTTGGGAGTAGTCATATGTTGCCCAGACTGCTTAATTGCTATTTTTCACAGCCATGTAATATTTCTTTTGGGTATACCTATTAGCCTGAAATTTTAGGGTTTTCTCAAGAATACTTAAACATGTCACCTGGTACTTTTTCAATTTTTCTCTCTACTTTCTTCCACCAGATGCTAATCCGGAAGTGACAATGACAATGCTTCGCTGGATTTATACGGATGAGTTGGAGTTCAGAGAGGATGATGTGTTCCTGACTGAATTGATGAAACTAGCGAATCGGTTTCAGCTACAGCTCCTTAGGGAGAGGCAAGTCACAGCAGATATATTCAAGCACTTCTGATGGTGGTGGCTGAGCTTTAATTATTCCAAGCTCTGGGAAAGCAACTTCTTGTGCTAATGTAAATAACTTTTGTAAGGTGTTCTTTTAAAGGTGATGGTGGGAAGAGAATTTGTTATCTCCCTTGCTTTGTATTATCTTTTAAGCTAAAGTTTGCTAAAGCTTTTTGATATTCTCTTTTCTTTCACTGGTCTGTTATCTTAGATTGCATAATTGTATAAACTGGTAAATTGAATGTGAAATAATATAAACCAGTATCCACACACTCAACATTCCCTCCCATTCCTTTGACCTTTGGTCCTACTTTCTGATATCTCTAATTGAATGAAGTCCTTGGTCACATATATATTTTTTTTTCTTTGAATCAGAGTCTCACTCTGTGGCCCAGGCTAAGAAGGTACTTTAGGACATCATTAACAAAATGTTCATCAAATGATGTCAGGCAGAATACCCTAGAACATCTCTATTGAAGATATGGCTCTTCGTGATCAACTTACTTGATGGAGTGTCTTTTTATGTCATTCAGTGATTTTTTTTATTTCCTTGAGTGCAGAAAGGAATGACTTTTCTTTTAATTGAGTGAAGTGCTGATTTCAGCCATCAGGAGGCACTCCACCTGTTAACCTCAGAGAGCCAAGAGAGACCTTCCTACCTATAGCTACCTGTTTGCTGTTTCACCATGAACCTGATGCTTCCCTTGGCATGGCCCCTGTGCTCCTCATGGATCTGTAGACAGTTACTTCTAACTGTCTGTAATGGATGTGGGCTTGAATCCATTTTAATATCTAAATCTAATAACTAAACACACACACACACACACACACGCACACGCACACACACACAAAACAAACAGGTCCAAGATCTGCAGGTACATATAGTATTAGGTTATTAGCAAAGCTAACTTTATGCTTTTCAATGAACTATTTCTTTCATTTGTTTTGGTGAGAGTGAAGTGAGACTTATTTTAATTAGGTAATTTCATAATTTCTTTTTAATTTCCTGAGCTTTTTCCCATTTATCTTGTCAAACTTGCTTTATAAATTAAATTGCTTTGATAAAAATGCCCTGAGGTTGGAGTAGTTTAGGTAATTGTAATCTGTGTAGTGGATTCTTTAATTTAAATGTTTGTTGCTTATTGATTGAGTAGGCTTCATAACTGTCAACATTATCAGATGCTCAGTTTTGTATTGTTTGGTGTATGAAGTTATCTGTCATGGCTTTCTTAAGAGCTGGAATGGAAGAGCACAGGAGTAGAGTCAGGTATTGACTTTTAAAGGTCAAAGAGTGCCCACTGCTGTCTGCAGAATAAATTACATGTTTGAGATAGTGAAAGGACAGAAGTATACACAGTTCAGTGTGAAGCAAGTGTTGCTCGTTTTTGTAATGTAGGGATCTTGGTGGTTTTGAATGCTAGCATCAATTTAAGGAAAAGGATTTTTTGGAGTATTATTAGGAAAATACTTTTTTTAGTATGAGAGAATTAATAATGTATATTAAGAGTAACAGAATATAATGCTTTTTTCCTCATTATATAAGTATAATACATATTCTTAGTGTATGGTATTTGGAAAACATAAAATGATATAAAGAAAAAAGGTAGCCAGGCTCGGTGGCTCAGCCTATAATCCCGCGCCTTTGGGAGGCTGAGGTGAGTGGATTGCCTGAGCCCGCGGGTTCGAGACCCGCCTGGGCAGCGAGACCTCATCTCTACAATAAATCAAAAAAATCAGCTGGGCTTGGTAGCGCGTGCCTGTAATTCCGGCTACTCGGAAGGCTGAGGTGGAAGGATCGCCTGAGCCCAGCAGGGGAGGCTGCGGTGGGAGTGGCCACTGCACTCCAGTCTGGGCAACAGAGTGAGACTCCAACTCAAAAAAAAAAAAAGAAAAAAGGTTACTGTAATTCAGCTGCTATTCACCTTTTATTATTTTTCCTTACAGTAATTTTTCTGTGTCTCTCATGTATACTCAATTGATATGAAAACTAGACAGGAGTTTGTGATCATGACACTTCAACATATGTTTGATTTTGTACTTTAAAAATTAGGTTGTGTAGGCCAGGCACAGTGGTTCACACCTATAATCCTAGCATTTTGGGAAGCTGAAGTGAGAGGATTGCCTGAGCCCAGGGGTTTGAGATCAGCTTGGGCAACTTGATGAGACCTCCTCTCTACAATATATCCAAAAATTAGCCAGGTGTGATAGTGCACACTTGTGCTTCCGGCTACTTGGAAGACTGAGGTGGAAAGATCACCTGAGCCCAGCGGGCCAATGCTGGGTGACCATGAGCATGCCACTACACTCTAGCCTGGGCGACAGAGTGAGACTCTGACTCAAAAAAAAAAAAAAATTATGTGGTTTTGTGCATCTGTATCCTTTTTGTACTATGAAATTTAAAACATATTAATGAGGAACATTAATTTGTCTTTTCAAAGAGAAGATAGAATCTGAGAATCTAAATGTTTAGAATACTACATTTTCTTCGGTTGTGTAAATCATGTCACTTACTATTTTTAGTCTATCCAAATGGCAAATGGCCCTCTGGGGAGCTTAGATTTAGTGACAGTGAAGTGTCTGCCAGTTTTAGCAAAATATCCATCCTCATGTAACATACATATGTGAGTCCCTTGATGCAGTGGCATTTGGCAATAAAAAAGGAGGAGAATGAAATTTTCAGACTCTCAGCATTTGTCTGTAAAAGTGCTTTGTAAAGTGCTCCACAGGTGTCAGCCATTATTCCCTGAGATCATACTGTGTATGAGGCTACACTCCAGCCTGGGCAACAGAGAGACTTTGTCTCTAAAAAGAAAGTGTTCTTTCTTCACAGGTCTTTTTCATGACCCTCTTTCTTTCTTCCCCCATTACCCACTCCCATAGTCTTTCTCCACTTCTTTTATCTAACGCTTTCCTGTTAAGATTGAGAATTATCTGCTGGCTAGTTATTTTTATTTAATGGTATTAAAATTAATTGATATTATTTATTAAGTTAATGTGATTTCCTTGTATGCTCTTTTGGTTTTTCCTTAGTAAAGGAATTTCAGATCTTAGAGAAGGAGATAGCTAGGAGAGGGACCTCAAACTTAGGGGCAGGTTGGGTTTGGTGGCTTGGCCAATCATCCCAGCACTTTGGGAGACTGAGGCTAGTGGATTGCCTGAGCCTGCGGGTTCGAGTCCAACCTGGATAACTTGGCGAGACCTTGTCCCTACAATTAAAAAAAAAATTAACCAGGCATGGTAGCGCATGCCTGTACTTCCAGCTACTTGGAAAACTGAGGCGGAAGGATCACTGGAGCCCAGCAGGTCGATACTGGGGTGGCCGTGAGTGTGCCACTGCACTGCAGCCTGGGTGACAGAGTGAGACTCCAACTAAAAAAAACAAAACAAAAAAACCAAAAAACTTATGAGCATACCTAATGTGTACCTTATGCTGTGCTAAATATAGCTAGTCTCCTCCATTTTGAAAAATACACAAAGATTCCCTGAACTTGTGAAATAGAGTATCATCCTTATTTTACAGAGGAGGAAATAAGGGCACAGAGCACTCAAGGAATTTGGCTCCTAAAATGTATTGGGTCTCAACTCAGGTCTTTCTTACTGCGTAACTCATTTTATTCTCTCCATTACATTATGCCTTTGTGATTAGAAAATAGTTTTTAGGAGCCTGTGGGACAGGGGAAACATTGGTGGGATGTCAGAGAATATCCCTGAAACATTACTAGCTCTCTTTGCTGCCCTTGGAGGTAAACCTGATTTGTAGGGAGATATGGAGGAAAGGGGGATGGAGGACTGTCCTGCAGCTTTCTTTTCCCCCATAGGCCTGGTTTCATAGGAGGCTTATTAAGGTTTCCAGGAATCTTAAGATAGAGGAAGTGTGGGTCTGCCCAATGCTGAATCTTCTAAGGCCAGGAGGTAGTATTTGCTTTGTGCTACCAGAGGCCTGTTTGCCTGTGTACAGGTAGCTCTCTCTTGATGTAGTTGATACTCTCTTCTTAATGATTCTGAAAGAGTCTTCTTGTTGTTGTTAGCTGGCTTTATGGAAATGTCCATTGTAGCCAATTTTTCTGTTTTGGTGTGTTATGGTTTTTTTGTTGTTGTTATAGCAGAAATGGAATATTTTTGGGGGGATAGTATACTGTGGTTTAATTGTTTCTGCTTTAGGTGGCCCTAAAACAGCTTTATTGACTTTGGCAAAGTCTCAGAGTACAAAATAAATGTGCAAAAGACAGTTGCATTTTAAAAAATATTTTTATTATTTTGTTTGAGTTGGAGTCTCACTGTGTTGCCCAGATTGGAGTGCAGTGGCATACTCACGGCCACCGCAGCCTCGACCTGCTGAGTTCAGGCGATCCTTCTGCCTCAGCCTTCCAAGTAGCTGGAACTACAGGCATGCGCCATCATGCCCGGCTAATATTTTTTTATTTATTGTAGAGATGAGGTCTCGCCAAGTTGCCTGGCTTGTCTCGAACTCGTGAGCTCAGGCAATCCTTCTCACGTTGGCCTCTCAAAGTGCTGGGATTATAGGTGTGAGCCACCGCAACCAGCTGACAATTGCATTCTTATAAACCAACAACAAACAGGCAGAGAACCAAATAAAAAGCACAATCCCAATTCACAATAGCCACCAAAAAAAAAAAAAAAAAAGAAATACCTTGGCATCTTTCTAACCAGAGAAGTGAAAGACCTTTACAATGAAAATTACTAAACACTGCTCAGAGAAATCCAAGATGACACAAACAAATGGAAAAATATTCCATGCTCATGAATAGGAAGAATCAGCATTGTTAAGATGTTCATCCTACCAAAGGCAATCTACAGATTCAACACAATACTCATTAAATTACTAACATCATTCTTCTCAGACCTGGAAATGACAATACAGAAATTCATATGGAAACATAAACAACCACAAATAACCAAAACGATCCTTAGCAAAAGAATCAAAGCAGGAGGTATCACACTTTCAGACTTCAAACTTTACTATAAGGCCACAGTAATCAAAACAGCCTGGTATTGGTACAAGAACAGGCATATGGACCAATGGAACAGGATAGAGATTCCGGAAGCAAAACCTCAATTTCTCAACCAACTCATCTTTGACAAAGCCTCCAATAACAATCACTGGGGAGAGGAGAACCTATTCAGTAAATGATGCTGGGAAAACTGGCTGACCATATGCAGAAGATTGAAACAGCAACCTTACCTGTCACCATACACAAAAATCAACTCTAAATGGATCAAAGACCTAAATGTAAAATGTCAAACTATAAGAAAATACAGGAGACCCCTCATGGAAATTGGAACTGGCAAAAAATTCCTAATCAAAACCCCAAGTGCCCATGCCATAAGAGATAAGATAGACAAGTGGGACCTTATCAAACTAAAAAACTTTTGCAAAGCAAAAAAAACTATCAAGAGTGGAGAGACAGCCCACAGAATGGGAAAAAATATTTGCCAACTATGTATCTGGCAAAGGTGCCTAATATCTAGGATCTGTAAGGAACTCAAACATGCTGAAAGGAAAAAAACAAACAGCCCTATTAAAAAGTGGGCAAAAGACATGAATAGACACTTCTCAAAAGAAGATATACGGGCAGCCAACCAGACACATGAAAAAGTGCTCAGCTTCACTTATCATCAGAGAAATGCAAATCAAAACCACATTGAGATACCACCTAACCCCAGTAAGAATGACTATCATTAATAAAACAAACAACAGAAGCTGGTGAGTATGCAGAGAAAAAGGAACACTTCTACACTGCTGGTGGGAATGCAAACTAGTGCAATCTCTTTGGAAAACAGTGTGGTGATTTCTGAAAGAACTAGAAATTGACCTTCCATATGACCCAGCAATCCCCCTACTGGTAATATTCCTGGAGGAACTTAGATCATTCTACAAAGAAGATACCTGCACACACATGTTTATGCAGCACTATTCACCGTAGCAAAAACATGGAACCAACCATGGTGCCCATCAAAACTGAACTGGATAAAAATATGTGGTACATATACATAATGGAATATTATGCAGCCATAAAGAAGGATAAACATATGGACTTTGCAGCAACTTGGATGGATTTAAGAGTCATACTCAGTGATCTATCACAAAAACAAAAAACAGAGTACCACATGTTCTTACTCATAAGTGGGCCCTCAACAGTTACCATAATACCATAAGAAAGGGATTAGCAATAGTGGAATACTGCCGGGGTTGGGGTAGAGGAGAGACACAACATCAGTAAGTGAACCTGATCTCAAACCAGGCAAAGTAGGGACCAAAGGGAGGCCCAAAGTTTACCTGTACGATGACCACTTGTATACCTAATCCTGAATTGTACCCCACACCTTTAAATTAAAAAATAAAAAATATATAGCTTTGAGTTTTAATTCATATATCATACAATTCAGTTTTTTGTTTGTTAAGACATAGAGTCTCATATTTGAAACTATTTCTACATTTGCATAATAGAGTTGTGCTAGTGGGAACTGCAACATTGATATACAATTCAGTGTCAAAGAACTGAAGTTGATTCATTATGTTTCATTTTACAATTGCCTGTGTATATAATCAGTGAGTTTCATGTGATTTCTATTGTGGCAGTTGGGGTATTGTGCTTAATAAGTTTACTTGCAGGTTATTTTGATTCTGAGCAATGAATCAAATTTTTGAACTGAGCAATGAAATATCACAATGAAATTACAGCACTTAAAAATATGGGAACCCCTGTAATCCCAGCACTTTGGGAGGCTGAGGTGAGAGGATTGCCTGAACCCGCGGGTTCGAGACCCGCCTGGGCAACTTAGCAAGAGCTCATCTCTACAATAAATAAAAAAATTAGCTGGGCGTGGTAGCGCGTGCCTGTAGTTCCAGCTACTTGGAAGGCTGAGGCGGAAGGATCGCTGGAGCCCAGGAGGCTGTGGTGGCTGGGAGCAGCCACGGCACTCCAGTCTGGGTGGCAAAGTGAGACTCCAACTCAAAAAAACCCAAAAAAACGGGAACCCAGCTAGAAAGTATTAATAACTACTTTGCTTAACCTTACACTGTAGTGTTGTTGGGCATAGCCAGCCAGTACACAGATTATTGTTTTGGTTTGTTCTTGTTTTAATATATTTGTCCTAGTAATACTGCTCGTCTTTAATGTTCTCTTACAGATGTGAGAAGGGTGTTATGTCTCTGGTGAATGTCAGGAACTGTATTCGCTTCTACCAGACTGCAGAGGAACTGAATGCCAGTACACTTATGAACTACTGTGCAGAAATTATTGCGAGTCATTGGGTGAGTGAGAGGTTGAGGGGTATAGACGGAGCACTCTCATTGGCATGGTTCTTTGGAAAGTTACCCATCTGGGACCTAGTTTTCTCTTGTTTCAAAATTGAAGGTTGAATAGTGGGATTAGTTGATCTGTGAGACCCTTTTCAGCTCTAAAAGTCTTGTAGTTCTATGATTTCAGAGGGGAAGAGCAGAAGATAGCTCAGGTCCAGAAACAGGCTTGACAGGGCCACCTGCTCTCACCCTCCATCTGTGGAAGCTGTGGCTGGGCAGGAGGAGGATGCTGCTCTGGGGCAGCAGGCTCTGCGATACTCAGCAGCACCATTTCAGAGCTTTCCCTTGCTTTCTTCATCAGGTGAAGAGCATTATTAACTTTAGATTTGCCTTTCTTAGGTTGTTTTCATCTTCAAAGAAGAGTTTTTACATTTCTTTGTTATGTTGTTTGTTTTGAATTTTTAAAAAATTAAGGACTGGCCAGCGTGGTTTCTCATGCCTATAATCCTAGCACTTTGGGAGGCCGAGGTGAGAGGTTTGCCTGAGCCTACGAGTTTAAGACCAGCCTGGGCAACTTGGCGAGATCTCATCTCTACAATAAATAAAAAAATTAGCCAGGCATGGTGGCATGTACCTGTGGTTTTAGGTACTTGGAAGACTGAAGCGGAAAGATCACCTGAGCCCAATAGGTTGAAGCTGCAGTGGCCGTGAGCATGCCAGTGCATTCCAGCCTGGGCTACAGAGTGATACTCTGTCTCAAAAAATTATAAGTAAAAATAAAAAATGAGGGCTGGGTGCTTACACCTGTAATTCTAGCACTTTTGGAGGCTGAGGTAGGAGGATCGTTTGAGACCAGGAGTGCAAGACCAGCCTGGGCAACATAGCAAGACACTATCTCTACAAAAAAATATTTTAAATTACCTGGGTGTGGTGGCACACGCCTGTAGTTCCAGCTACTCAGGAGGCTGAGGTGGGAGGATCACTTGAGCCCAGGAGTTCAAGGTTGCAGTGAGCCATGATCATGCCACTGCACTCTAGCCTGGGCAATGGAGCGAGACCCTGTCTATAAATAAAAAAATAAATAAATAATAAATGATGACTAGTGCTACGTTTTGTAAATTAGTTTGTACAAATTATTTGGTATTCAATAATACTGTGAGAAGAATCTTGGTGTTCAGAAAAGGTGGCTAAATGAACTGGATTTTAGCCAGGTGCAGTAAGTAGCTCACGCCTATAATCTCAGCACTTTGGGAGGCAGAGGCCAGAGGATTGCCTGAGCCCAGGGATTCAAGATCAGCCTGAGTAACTTGGTGAGACCTCATCTCTACAATAAATAAAAAAATTAGCCAGGCATGGTGGCACGCACCTGTAGTTCCAGCTACTTGGAAGACTGTGGTGGAAATATCGCCTGAGCCCAGCAGCTTGAGGCTGCAGTGGCCATGAACATGCCACTGCACTCCAGCCTGGGTAACAGAGGGAGACTCTAAATCCAAAAAAAAGAAAAAGAGATACTTCAAAAAAACAAAAACTGGATTTTAAAGAATGGACACAGGGTTGGCAACCTACTTTTATAAAAGAGGTAGAACTATGGAGACTTGCAATAATAGAGGCCAGTGTCTCTCGATGGAGTGAATTGTTTATGGAAGTTCTAATTAATTCTGTAATTGTTATCTTTTTAGAGTAGGAGGAGTATTCTCCTGACTCCGTTCTCATTAGAGGGCAGTGTTGCTTGTACTTTTCCATCTTTCAGAGAGACATAGTGGTGCTGTGGTAAAGACCTTTGGTTCCAGATCCACCCTCAGCAAGTCATTTAACCCTTTTATGCAAGTCATTTAACCCTTTTATGCTTTACTGTTTTCATCTGTAAAGTGGAGATGATAATAGTACCCACCTCACAGCGTTTTAGTGAGGATTAAATGAATCGGGAAATGTTAAACCCTTAAAGTAGAGCCTGACCCATTCTAAGGGCTTAATAAATGACAGTAGTTATTACTTTGTGTCTGTTTTGCTCTTTACTGTGTTATTAATTCTTAGGATGACTTACGAAAGGAAGACTTCAGTAGCATGAGTGCACAGTTGTTATACAAAATGATCAAGTCCAAGACAGAGTACCCATTACATAAAGCTATCAAAGTCGAGAGAGAAGATGTGGTCTTCCTTTATCTGATTGAAATGGATTCACAGGTACTGAAGCTGCTTTTTCCATTTTTCATATCTTTTCCCCAAATTGTAATGTACTTGTTTTTTCTTGGTGATGCTCCTCACTTCCTTCTGAGCCATCGTTGGCACAATCTTTAATGTGCATATTTCCACTAATAGTTTGTTTAAGACTTTTGAATAGTTTGATCTGGGCTTTTTCTATCATGTTACTCAAAATTCTTCCAGCCTTAGCCCAGTGCCCAATTTCAAAGCTACATGTTGTTAGGTAGTTGTTACAACAATTCCTACTTTCCAAGTGTCAAAATCTGTATTACTTTTCCTTTACTGCTATAATGAATTACCATAAACTTGGTGACTTAACACAACACCCATTTATTGCCTTACAGTTCCTTGGGTTGGAAGTTCAGTACAGGTTCACTGAAGAAAGTCAAGGTGTCAGCAGCCACTCTACTTTCCAGAGGCTCGAACACAGAATCCATTTCCTGTTCATTTGGGTCTTTGCTAGAATTTGGGTTCTTGCAGTTACAGGATTGATATCTCTTTTCTCTTGCTGGCTGTTGACTGAGGCTGTTCCCAGCTTCCAGAGGCTACCACATTCCTTAGTTCATGCCCCCTGCCTCTGCCTTCAGAGCCATCAGTGGCAGGCCTGGGCCTTCTCATGTCACATCTCTCTGACCTGCTGTTCTGTTGCCCTCTTTCACTTTTAAGGACTCGTGATTAAATAGAGTGAACCCTCCTGAACAATCTAGGGTACTCTCCCCGTTTCAAGATTCTTACCCATAATCACATCTTTAAAGTGTCTTTTGCCACGTGAGGTGACACATTCACAGTTTCTGGGACTAGGACATGAACGTCTTTGGGGGGGGGGCTATTACTCTGCTTACCACACTACCTTAAAAGAAATGCAGGTCCCCCTGACAGATGGGAGTGAAGTATATTTTGTCCTGGGCATCCAGTGTGTGGGGAGACATTAGTTAAACCACAGCATTTCATGAAAGCATCAGGTGTTTACTATAAAGCTATCTGATCCTCTGCTCTGGTGCTCGTGTCCTATTGCAATCTGTCTGTATTTCCCCTTTGGTTCTTACCTTATCTTCCATGTTGTTTGCATATGTTCTGTGATCCCCATTAATTTTGTGTTCCCTGAAAGCATGTGCCCCAAGGAGACCTGATGGAAGTTTGTGAATAAAGTTGAATTTGGGGAATAAGCAGTGTCATAGCACTTAAATTTGACAGTTGTGTAAGAGATGATATTTAAGGTTCATGGTGGGAGAAATTTAAATAGGTCATATACTCTACTTGCCCGGTGCTAATTTACAAACTTACTTGTGTAGCTCCCTGGGAAGCTGAATGAAGTGGATCATAACGGAGATCTTGCATTGGATCTAGCCCTTTCACGACGGCTAGAGAGTATTGCTACCACGCTGGTTAGTCACAAAGCTGATGTCGACATGGTAGACAAGAATGGCTGGAGCTTGTTACATAAAGGAATCCAGAGAGGTAGGAAGAAGTCTATCTTATATTTTTCTCTGCAGGCATTTTTATTTTTATCCAAGTAATTTTTAAAGACTCTCTGACCTTGTTAAAAAATTCCCAAAGACTTCTTGAATCTGTATTCACAGGCTAGGTGAAAATTTACAAAAAAAAAAAAAAAAAGAATCTGTGATCATTGGATCAGAGGAGGGACTGAAGAGCTATTGCCTATACCTTGTTAATTTGACTGTTCACAGTGCCAACAGGGTTCCAAGAAGAATGACTAAAAAGATGGTACTTGAGAAGAAGTACCTTTTACTTGTAAGCATTTGATATATTTGCTTGTTCAGTAGATCACTTTTTCCAGGATTTGTGCTAAGAGACTTTACTTTTGCATTCTTGCATGGATACAAGGAAAATATCAAAACCACAAATATTTAAAATTAAGGGTTTTTACTTTAGCAGTTTAGACTTCTCTCATGACAAAGTAGTAAAGTTTCATTTTGTTCTAGGAAAGTTATTTGAAATAGAGTACATTGATGGTAGTGGGAAGGATGAAGAATTGATAGGATTGAGCTCAGCATGTTTAAATCTTGTTGAATTAACTTTTCTTTTCTTTTTCTTTTTTTTTTGAGTTAGAGTCTCACTCTGTCGCCCAGGCTGGAGTGCAGTGGAACACTCACGGATACCCCAGTGTTGACCTGCTGTGCTCTGGCAGTCCTTCTGCCTCAGCCTTCCAAGTGGCCAGAACTATAGGCCTGCGCTACCGTGCCCGGCTAATTTTTTTTTTTTTTAAGTTATTGTAGAGAGGAGGTCTTGCAAAATTGCCCAGGCTGGTCTCAAACCTGCAGGCTCAGGCAAGTCACCAAGCCTGACCTGAATTAACTTTTCTTTATTTTTTTAATTATTTTTTTATTATAAAGATGTGGAGCTGGGCTCGGTAGCTCAGCCTATAATCCCAGCGCTTTGGGAGGCCGAGGTGAGTGGATTGCCTAAGCCCGCAGGTTCGAGACCTGCCCGGGCAACTTGGCGAGACCTCATCTCTACAGTAAATCAAAAATTACCCGGGCGTGGTAGTGCGTGCCTGTAGTTCCAGCTACTTGGAAAGCTGAGGCGGAAGGATTACCAGAGCCCAGCAGGTCGAGGCTGCGGTGGCCAGGAGCAGCCACTGCACTCCAGTCTGGGTAACAGAGTGAGACTCCAACTCAAAAAAAAAAAAAAAGATGTGGGGTACAATTCAGGGTTAGGTATACAAACATTGATTATGCAGGTACCCTTGTTGATGAGCTGAATTAACTTTTCAAGGGGACAAAAGTTGGTAGATTTTGCTTTGTTTTCCCAGTGGCCTTATTAATTCATAAGTCCCAAAGGGTTCCTGGCTGACTCTACTTTGCAGTGGTCATTTTTGATGGAGTGAGGGTCTGTGTAGAGGTAAAATTCTAGTATGGAATGAAAGCTACTGCACTCCAGTCTGGGTGACAGAGTGAGACTTCAACTCAAAAAAAAAAAAAAAGTCAAAGCTCCAGGCATGGTATCTCACACCTATAATCCCAGCACTTTGGGAAGCCTAGGCAGATGGATTGCTTGAGCCCAGGGGTTTGAGACCAGCCTGGGCAACATAGTGAGACCTTGTCTTCACACACACACACAAAATTAAATAATTAGCTGGGGGTACGTGCCTGTAGTCCCAGCTGCATGGGAGGCCGAGGTGGGAGGATCACTTGAGCCCAGGGGGTTGAAGCTGCAGTAAGCTGTGATAGTGTCACTGACTCCAGCCTGGGTAACAAAGTAAGGCCTTGACTAAAAAAAAAAAAAAAAAGAAGAAGAAGAAGTCACAACCTTAATTTTGTAGAGGAATAATTGACTTGGCTGAAGTATGTAATTTCCATGACCACTTATTTGTGGGCATCAAAGGGAGAATATATTGGTTTCACTACATCTTAGTTTATTTTACCCTTCTGATTATACATTATTATACTATTATTGTCTATACTGCACTTTTGCCATTCACAAGTTGCCCCTGGTCGTTGGAGTGTGGCCAAGATGTGGTCCTGTTCCAGCTGTGGCTTTGCTCTTTTTGAGCAAAGGTTTTTTGTTTATTTGTTTGTTTGTTTTTGAGTTGGAGTCTTACTCTGTCACCGAGGCTGGAGTACAGTGGCATGCTTACAGTCACCGCAGCCTCCAGCTGCTGGGCTCAGGCAATCCTTCAACCTCTGCCTTCCAGGTAGCTGAAACTACAGGTGTGCACTGTCACACCCGGCTTATTGAGCACAAATTTTAATACAAATAACCTTGTGAGCCATGTGGTAGAGTGTTGAGCTTGCTGACTGGTAGAGAGGGAAATTTTGCTCATCACTGAGTAGGAAATCCTTAGAATATGTCAGTGTCAAGAGCAGATGCATTTTTCCCAAGCACCATTCTGCACTGTGCAAAGCCATCAGTTGCTCAGCATTGAGTATTGTTCAGTGGGGAAAGTTTCATCACATAGCAATTATTCTTTTCCATACTGTTTGGTGTCTGAGATGTTTATCTTGGAAACAAATACACTTACTAAAAACACAACTGGGAATTACATTTCTTTCCTCGTCCTCTTATGTTTAATGAAAAAACATCTTTGACAAGTTATTAAATATTTTGGTGATTGCTTAGTTACAAGAATTGCCAAGAATTGGTAATACATTTTTGATGCTTATTTTCAGATGATTTAATCTTCACTCTGGACTTATCAGTTGCCTGCAAGCATGTGGATTACATTGTGGGCATAATAAACATGATTGTTGCTAACTTTAGAGAGCTTGGCATGGTGTAGTGGACAGGACACTACCTGTGGAGCTTGAATTTATCAAGGTTTGAATCCTGGCTCATCTATTTATCCAGTGGCCTTGGACAAGTCACTTGACCACTCTGATTCTTCTTTTCCTAATCTGTAAAGTGGGAATCATTTTTGCTTTTTGGATTTGTTGGTAGAATGCAAGATAGTGTTAGTGACTGGAAGGGTCAACCTAGCCCTTCATACTTTGCTCTTGTGTTGTAATGCCATACCAGATCCAGTTCCTATAGGAATTTTTTTTACTTTTCTTCCTTCAGCTTGAACTGTCAGATTGTTTACCTGCCCAGATAATTTAAACTGAATAACATACTTAAATTTAAACGTTAAACTTAATATGAGTAAAGATCTTTAAAATGTGAGATTTACATCTAGCTCTGGGCACACATTAGAATCTGTAAACAAAATAGTCACCAATCATCCTAATAACCAAATCTACTAGTAGTAGATTGTCTGAAGAGTGAAACAGACAGTCAGTCTGTGGAGATGTCCAAAGGAGGTACACACATGGCCAGAGGGTCGCTATTTCCTTGGGTTAGCCTGATCTGGGCAGTGATGAATCCTTACTTTATAGAATATCTAGTTCTTCCTGTACTTCTTTACTTTAATAACCAACATCAATCAGTGAGTTCTTAAATAGGTTGCTCCTGTTAAGTAGCTTGTAATAAATCTGAAAATAATGCCACCAACTAGAGCAGCATGAAATATGGTTTGTGAATGATGAAGGTTACTGGCTAAAAGAACTCTCTCAGGAAACTGTGTTGAAAGAAAAATTATATGTGGATTTTTTTTTAGTGTTAACTTTTTTGTTAGGAATATTTTTATGTAGATAAATTGTTACAGTAATGCCTCATTGACCTGCAGTGTGGGCGAATGAGGTGTGAAGTAACTGAAACTTTTAACACCAGCTTTAATTTGAACTGTTTTTGATGGAAATATTTCTGAAATGTGTTATATATATATATATATATTTTTTTTTGACATTTGTTTATTTATTAACTGTTTATTAAGGGTCCACAGTTGCCACTCCAGCTAAAACTATTCCAGTGTTAAGAAGAAAATAATGAAGTGGTATTTCAAATTGCCTGTATCTTGATCAGTCTCTCTCTCTATATATCTATATGTCTACAGCATGCATCTATATATCCCCTTCCCTGTTCCATCTGTAAGCTATGTACTGAGAAGCTTCAGTATAAAAAAAATTTTTTTCACTCTATAAAGAAGTATTGAGTACCTTTAAGTCAGAGCATTATGCTCGGAATACAAGGATGAATAAGACAACCAAGAAAGAGAGCTTATATCCTAGTTTCCATAATAACAATATGAGTTTGTTTAGTAACTAAAGTTTTAAAATATATATATATATTTTTTTTCATAATCAATATTTTTTATTATGGTTTTGTGGGGTACAGTTAAGGGTTAGGTGTACAGTTACGTTTCATTCAGGCACCCTGTTGATAAGAGGTGTTTCCCCATCCCCAGACAGATATTTGCTACTGTTAATCCCATCTCCCTCCCCCTCTATATATTTTCTTTTTTTTTTTTTGGCATACCTGGCCTTCAGGCAATTCAGAAGGGGGTGGGGTAGGTATGGTTCCTGGAGCTTGCTTCTTATCTCACCCTTGAGGTCCCACATTTGGGCGCCACTTGTGGGAGTCCAGCTCCTGCCGGGTTAAGGGTACCCCAAAGGTGGAGATGGTGTTGGCAATTGTGAGAATGACGGAAAGAGAGAGAGAAAGAGAGGCTTGAACAACTGCTTAGATTTGAGCAGAAGACCTATATTTTTTCTTATGACAAAAACTTTACAAATGGCACTTTTGGCATTTTCTGTTCCCTCTCTTTGTTCACTATTTTGATGTCAATTTTCTTTTTCCTTTGCTTTTATACCCTTTGGGCTGACTTTCTTTCATTGTAAACCTTCACCAATTTTCAATTTCCAGTAGCTTCTAAACAGTTTTTTTTTGTGTAGGAGGGTATATATACTTATGCACATATATGTGTAAGTTTGAAAACTTTATCTTTGTTTTTTTTTGTGTGTTGGAGTCTCACTCTGTCGCCCAGACTGGAGTGCAGTGGCCGTTCCCAGCCTCGACCTCCTGGGCTCCAGCGAGCCTTCCACCTCAGCCTTCTTAGTAGCTGGAACTACAGGCGCACACTACCACACCCAGCTAATTTTTGATTTTATTGTAGAGATGAGGTCTCACAAAGTTGCCCAGGCGGGTCTCGAACCCTCGGGCTCAGGCAATCCACTCACCTCAGCCTCCCAGAGTGCTGGGATTACAGGCTGAGCCACCGAGCCAGGCTGTATTTTTGACTTTTTATTAAAATTGACTTTTTGTCCTAATAATTTTGATGAGATCAGGCACACTCAGGGTGGTATGACTGTGAATTGTCCTAAGAATTCTAAATTTTCTTTCTACTCCCAAAATGTAAGTGGGCATCTCTAGGATATTTTATGCTATTGCTAATGTGTTGTTTCTTACATACTTTCTCTTAGACCACATCCACGTATGGTTTGTTCATGCTATACCTTAAGACCCTACTATGTATATGTATAACTGGATAGCAAAGGCCTGACCCAGCCTAGCCCCTGTTAGGCATGCTACCTGTTACTTTCAGTGCTTTCCTGACTTCCTACGGTAAGACAATCTAAACTTTGGCCCTTTACTCTTGATACTGGTAAAGCTTGCACCCTTTTGCTCCCTTCCCAAATGGGAACAGATGAATGAAAATATATCAGGAGAATTATTGAGTTACCTGAAATCATAATTTATTTGAGTTAGAGACAGTATGTCGAAGGGAAACCCCACCAGTCAATCCATTTTCTACCCAGCCTTTCCCCAGAGCCTGCTTTGTTTAAGACAATGATGGATTAAAAAAAAAATCAGACATAGGCCACTCCAGCATCTGAGGAACTGGTCAGCATTTGAGGCTGCCTAGCAGCCCCAATGCCCAGAGCACATTATCTAGCAAGATGGCCCTTTGGAAGAAAGCACAGAGCAGATGGGAAGTGTTGAAAACATGATGATTTTAAAATTCCATGTCCACTAGGACCAGATGAAACCCATGTATTCAAATTAAAGTGAACATAGGAATAACAGACTTAAGAGAACTTTACCACTCCCAAAGCCGCACTTTAGGTGTTCAGACTGTAGACATGTAGTTGAAGAAGATGAAATGATATTGCAAAATACAAAAAGAAAACTTCTTATAAGTGACTTTGTAGGGAAGTAAGGAATCACAAGGAAGTTGTGATTCAAAGGAGTCTGCAGCCACAATTATACTGGAATTAGAAACAGAAGTGTCTTAATGCAAAGACAAAAGCAGATCAACTATGGAAAGAACATCATTGCCTATGATTGATACGTTAAAGAAGTTCCAAGGCACCTTCAGCAACCTGGCATTCATCCCAAGATCACCAACACATTAAAGTACAGTCAACACTCATGGGACAGCAAATCAGACTCTGGGAGGTGGTTCTGCATTTTTGGGATCATCCAACTGAAGAAGGGTGTGATTTGCAAAAAATTCATCCTGCAAAAATTCATCCTGTAGACCTTGGTGGAATGGAGACCAAATCTGCAGAAAGTACCTTTGAATCCCAGACAAGCTCTCGGAATAATATGGATGTATACACCCATCAAAGTTACACATGTAGTTAGACTGTCAAATTAAGGATGGGTTTGATTTGGAAGCTATATAATGAACCCTTGAAAGACTTTCCAAGTGTGAGTTAATGATGCCACCTGGAGGACACTGAGAGCAACAATTTCTTCTACTCAGCTAGGTGCAATGTCTCAAACATTTATAACTAGAAGCTTTCTCAGTCTGTTATATTATGGTGCTTTGTTATTCTTGTCTTGTTTTTATAAGAAATATAAATTTTATGAATAGTGTTTTTCATGTTTTAAGTTATAAAATGGAACTAAATCCAAGGAAGCTTGAACTCTAAGTAATCTTACAACAAATTTAGCTGTTTAATCTCTGTCATCCTCCAAAGTAACGTGAAACATATACTTTAACTGGTTTTTCAGAAGTGTTGTTTTTTTTTTTTCAGTTGGAGTCTCACTGTTGCCCAGGCTGGAGTGCAGTGGCATGCTCATGGCCACTACTGCCTCAACCTGCTAGGCTCAGATGATCTTTCTGCCGTAGTCTTCCAAGTAGCTGGAACCACAGGCACACGCCACCACGCCCAGCTAATTTTTTGATTTATTGTATAGATGAGGTCTCACAAAGTTGCCCAGTCTGGTCTTGAACCCCTGGACTCAGATAGTCCTCTCACTTCTGCTTCCCAAAGTGCTGGGGTTACAGGCGTGAACCACCCTGTCTGGCCTCACAAGTATTTTTGACATTAAATGTCCATTTGTTGAATTGCTTAGTTATATATTTACTATGTATTCATGGATCCAATCTAGAGTCACCTTCTCTTCACTGGTATCTGACAAAGTATTTTCACAAATATATACCTTTAATGTCTTTCCTTAAACTTAATTGTTGCCTTTGTCAGTGTAGGTTTTTTTTCCTTATACAGAGAATGAATAGTCAAAGATGGTAAATTGAGCTATTAAAATTAATGAATTTTATGAAGTTACTGTCCTAATTTGGTATTTGTAAATAGTCCTATTCATAAGTAGGGTAGATTCTTCTACCTATAATTCTCTAGGAGTTAAGGCAATGGAAGCATTTAGAAAGAAATTTTGTTTTTACAACCAGTTTATTTATCCTGTGAAATCTTTAAAAAATAGCAACATGTACAGATTTTCTGTTGAAATACTCAGTTGTAAATTTCTTGTTAAGTCTGTTATGTTTGTATATAATGAGATTACAAAACTAAGAAGAAAAGAAACTTTATAATAATAATAATAATAATCAAACATGGGCTCTGAACAGGAACCTGTATGCAAGTACAAATGTTGCTTAGGTGCAGGCTACGTCAGGAAGTAGGAGAGAGAGAAATTGTGTAGGAAGGAATCCTGGGAGCCCTTTTTGAGAGATGAACAGAAGAAGCCTTTGAAGGGTAGAGTCCTGGTATTCTTTTTTTTTTTTTTGAGTTGGAGTCTCACTCTGTTGCCCAGACTGGTATGCAGTGGCACGCTCTCGGCCACCTCAGCCTTGACCTGCTGGGCTCCGGCAGTCCTTCCGCCTCAGCCTTCCAAGTAGCTGGAACTACAGGCGCGTGCTACCACGCCCGGCTAATTTTTTGATTTATTATAGAGATGAGGTCTTGCCAAGTTGCCCAGGTGGATCTCGAACCCGTGGGCTCAGGCAATCCACTCACCTCAGCCTCCCAAAGCACGGGATTACAGGCCGAACCACTGAGCCCGGCTTGAGTCCTGGTATTCTTAAACAATGAAGAAATATTGATGTGAGGAGGCAAGGCAGATGATAACAGGTGATCATAAACTGAACAAAGCTTTTTGAATTAGAGTCTGTAACCCCATGATCTTGATGAAGAGTTTCTACTTACAGGTGTCCCAAGAGATTCCTTTGGGCACATCTAATTGCTTCTCTTTTTTGTCTGCAGTTACTGTCTACTACCTTTTGAAGAGTCATTGGCTAGAATAACTTGCCCTGAGTATTTCATATGTTACTGTTTCTTCTATTATTTATTTTTAAGGAGATCTCTTTGCTGCCACTTTCCTCATTAAGAATGGGGCCTTGGTCAATGCTGCTACGAAGGGTGCCCAGGAGACACCGTTACACCTTGTGGCATTGTACAGTTCAAAGAAGCACTCAGCAGATGTGATGTCTGAGATGGCACAGATTGCAGAGGCCCTTCTGCAGACTGGTGCCAACCCCAACATGCAGGACAGCAAGGGCAGGTGAGTTGGGGAACAGACAGACTGTGCCCTCAGCACTATTCCCAAAAGCTTATTTTATGGTATAATTGGCATCTAGGGACTTCATGTTCTTCAGTTTGGCTTTATTCAATTGTATTTTTATTGAAGTCACAAACATTGATTTTTAGTAGTGTTGTCACTACCAAAGCCAGAGGCGTTTGAAGACATTTTCGTCCTGGGTAACTGGAGTCTTTGGGTTTCTAAGCATTTTCCATCATCTTTATATTAGAGGGAACCAGAGTGATCCACATGGTCCAGCTCCTCCAAGGAACCCTCCTTCTAGCATTTCTTAGAGCTATTTGGATAGTTTGAAGAAGAGGAACACACTCCGGGCAACCTGCTTTATTTCTGTGAGGTCTAATTGTTAAAAAATTTCCATGTTAAACCTAATTTTACTTTCTTGTAAACACTCCCACTTTAGACAGCTCCTTGTCTTCACAGCTGGCTACCTTCATCAGTAGCACAGCCCTTTGCATATTTGATAGTATTTATTGTGTTCCTTTGGCCTCTTCTCACAAATAGTTGAGGATTCCTTGTGGTTTAGAATCTGAGAAAGGACTGCTGGTCTCTGGGCCAGTGGTGTGCGAGACTCTGAAGGGCAGTCAAGCCACCTGAATCACCAGTCGCAGTTGGGACTCACTTGTCATAGCAGTTCAGTGTTTTATAACTTTGAAAATCCTCGGGCAACCCCCTCAGATCCCCTTCTGCCCTGGGAGGTTTTCTGTCCCCTCAATAAATCCTGCTTGCTTGCTTTCTTTTTCTTTTTTTTTTTTTTTGAGTTGGAGTTTCACTCTGTTGCCTAGACTGGAGTACAGTGGCCGCTCCCGGCCACTGCAGCCTCGACCTGCTGGGTTCCGGCGATCCTTCCACCTCAGCCTTCCAAGTAGCTGGAACTACAGGCGCGCGCTACCACGCCCGGCTAATTTTTTGATTTATTGTAGAGATGTCTCGCTGCCCAGGCGGGTCTCGAACCCGTGGGCTCTGGCAATCCACTCACCTCAGCCTCCCAAAGGCGTGGGATTACAGGCTGAGCCACTGAACCCAGCTTAATCCTGCTTTCTTAAAAATAATAATAGCAAAATAAATAAAATCCTGTAAAAAAATAAAAGATGTTTTTGAAGTTTGTTGTCAGAATAAGAAAATGAATAAGATAGATCTCCGTGAACTTGCAGTATCATGTGATAATCACCTTATTTCCCAAAATAATTGCATCCCTTTTTCCCTCTATTGATTCTTTGATTTTTTTCTTACTGCCACTGAAATAAACTCACAGTCTGTCCTCTGAGGTAAATGCCTTGGGGCCCTCTGCTCTGTAGTGGCAGTCTCCTTCAAGGCCCTTGAGTGCTAAATGAAAAGCAGTGAGGAGGAGTTAAATGCCATTTTAATACATTCTTACCTGTTGTTGTTCTGTGTTTGAGTATAACAAAATTATAGGGAAGAAGAAAGTTTCTTTTCAGCATTGGTGGAGGATAGGTGAGGGAAAATATGCTTACCTATGATAGCAACTGCTATTAAAAAAAAATCAGTACATGCATATTCAGTAAGGGGTCAGTATTGAACGCAGGAGTATTTTAGATCTCTTGTTTTTATTCTTGTCCATTTTGGCCACTGAGCAAATGGTAATACATAAGCAAATCAATGTTCATATTTTGATACTTCGTCTTGGTTTTAGAAAACCGTTACAGAAATGTGAGATTTCTTGTGGATGGTGATTCTGCCTAGGATTCTAGTTGCCTCCTGCTGTAAGTAGTCCTGAATTTGGACCTGTCCTGAATTGACACCTCTTCTTTTTTATCCTGCAGGACTCCTTTACATGTGTCCATCATGGCCAGGAACGAATATGTGTTCAATCAGCTGCTGCAGTGTAAACAGTACGTAGGGAGACATGGAGAAATGAAAAAGCAGTTGTGAGGGTGGGATTGTGAGTGAAAAATAATTCTTTTTTTTTTGAGTTGGAGTCTCACTCTGTCGCCCAGACCGCAGTGCAGTGGCCGCTCCCAGTCATCGCAGCCTCAACCTGCCGGGCTCCGGCGATCCTTCCGCCTCAGCCTTCCGAGTAGCCGGATTTACAGGCGCGTGCTACCACGCCCGGCTGATTTTTTGATTTATTGTAGAGATGAGGTCTTGCTGCTCAGGCGGGTCTCGAACCCACGGGCTCAGGCAATCCACTCACCTCGGCCTCCTAAAGTGCTGGGATTACAGGCTGAGCCACCGAGCCCGGCCAAAATAATTCTTTTAAAATATATTTTAGTGTTATAAGTTTTAATAAGTTAAAGTAAACTAAAAATGTGTCATTCAAATAGTATAAAGAGAAAGAATGAGGCTGTCGGCAGTTGAGAGTGAAGAAGATTGTATTTGCTGCTCACATTGCTTCCTTTTTTCAGATTAGATTTAGAACTTAAAGACCACGAGGGCAGCACAGCTCTGTGGCTTGCGGTGCAGTACATCACCGTATCTTCTGACCAGTCTGTGAACCCCTTCGAAGACATCCCTGTAGTCAATGGGACTTCATTTGATGAAAACAGCTTTGCAGCCAGACTCATACAGCGTGGCAGCAACACCGATGCACCTGATGCCATGACAGGTAAAGCACAGTAGGTCCCTAAGGGGGGATGCTGAAGTCTGGAATATAATTTTTTGGGGTTCAGATTAGCTGGGTGTGGTGGTAGTTCTAGCTACTTAAGCGACTGAAATACTGTGTAAATTATTTTACCCAAAATTTAGATACAAGTGGCATACCAAGAATTTCTCTGTACTTATTTTTAAGTCTTTTTTTTTTTTTTTTTTTTTGAGTTGGAGTCTCACTCTGTCACCCAGGCTCAGGCAGTCCTTCTACCTCAGCTTTCCAAGTAGCTGGAACTACAGGCTAATTTTTTTTTATTTATTGTGGAGGTGAGGTCTTACCAAGTTGCCCAGGCTGGTTTTGAACCCTTGGGCGCAGGCAGTCCTCTCACCTCAGCCTCCCAAAGTGTTGGGATTATAGGCGTGAGCCACTGTGCCCAACTGTACTTACTTTTAGATATAGTTAAAATGTGGATTGTAATTTTTAAAAATACAGTACTTCAAACAATTAGACATCAAGTTAAGTCCTTTAAGCTGAAACACTTTCATTCATTTAATGCAGTGAGTGATCAGACTTTGTGGACTCGGATCTCCTTTTACCCTCTTAAAAATGATATCCGACTGGGCTTGGTGGCTCAGCCTGTAATCCCAGCACTTTGGGAGACTGAGGTGAATGGATTGCCTGAACCTGCAGGTTCAAGATCAGCCCAGGTAACTTGGCAAGACCTCATCTTTACAATAAATAAAAAACTAGCTGGGTGTGGTAGCCTGCATCTGTAGTTCTGGCTACTTGGAAGGCTGAGGCGGAAGGATTGCTGGAGTGCAGGAGGTTGACGCTGGGGGGGCCATGAGTGTGCCACCACACTCCAGCCTGGGTGACAGAGTGAGGCTCCAACTCAAAAAAAAAAAAAAAAAAAAATGATATCCCAAAGAGCTTTTATTTAGGTGGGATATAACTTTGATACTTACCATATTTTAAATTAAAACTGAGAAAAATTTAAAAGGTGTATTAATTTAATGATAACAAACCAATATATGTTAACATATAACATTATTTAATGAAAAATAACTTTCAGGCTGAGTGCAGTGGCTCATGCCTATAATCCCAGCATTTTGGGAAGTTGAGGTGGGAGGATTACCTGAGGCCAGGAGTTCAAGACCAGCCTGGGCAACATAGTGAGACTCTACAGAAAATGGAAAAATTAGCTGGCTGTGGTGGTGCATGCTTGTAGTCCTAGCTACTCAGGAGGCTAATACATGGAGGATCACTTAAGTCCAGAAGGCTGAGGCTGCAGTGAGCTATGATTGCATCACTGCACTCCAGCCTAGGTTTCAGAGTGAGATCCTATCTCCCAAAATAAAAAATGAAAAGAGGGAAAAAACGGGCAAATGAAATCACCACTTTAGGTTACATAAAAGCTAGAGGCAGATCAGGCATGGTGGCTCACTCCTATAGTCCTGGTGCTTGGGGAGGCCAAAGAGGAAGGATTACTTGAACCCAGGAGTTTGAGAATAGCCTAGGCAATATCGTGAGACCATGTCTGTACAAAAAATTTAAAAATTAGTCAGGTGAGATGACATGCACATATAGTTCCAGCTACTCAGGAGGCTGAGGCAGAACGACCACCTGAGCCCAGGAGTTCAAAGCTGTGGTGAGATGTGGTCATGCCACTGCCTTCCAGCCTGGGTGATAGAGTTAGACCCTGACTCAAACAAACAAACAAAAAGCTAAAGGCAGTAAATATTACAGGGCAAGAAGTACAGGAAGAACTATAAATGTTTTAGACTAAAGACCTCTAGAAATGAGATTGTTACTTAATTGCTTTTAATTTGTTGGTTATTGGCCATAATTTTACTGCTTTCCAATTTAATCACATATCAGTGTGTGGCATATAAGAGATTGGTTCTTTGATATTTGAAACTTGAATGTTAGACTCTTACAGAACTAATTTTTATGCTACGTACTAAAAAAGTATTCATCTTTTAATTGTAGGATGCACCGTTCTCTACTTATGTGCATTAAATCAAGCTTGTTCATTAGGCAATTCAAATCGTACATATTCTTAGTAACTTTTAGACTACTTGATCTGTCAATTTCTGAGAGGTTTTATTGAGACTTTTTCACTGATTGTATATTTGTTCATTTTTCTTGCTAGTTTTGTCAGTTTTACATTATATACTTTCTGTTTTAATTGTTAAATACATACGGGCTCAGGATTGTCATTTTTTCCTATTGGTTTATTTCATTTTTAATTTTACATGTAATAATCTTAGTCACTGCTTTTTCACAGCTAGTGAGGTTTTAGCAGTCACAGGTTAAATTTGTTCTATAGGGAAGTGTTTAATTTAAGTTGTATATACCCTGAAATGACTGCAGAAGTGAAAAGGGGTCTTTGATTAGGAGTCTTTAGATTAGAATAACCATCAACTGGGGATAGAGTCACTTTCTCTGGGGTCAAAGAGAAAAATGGTATGAAAGCAAAGTAGTGCTTTGTCCCATTTCTTTATCTTGTTTTTGGACCTGGTTTTTAATTTATTTGAATTTTCAAATAACATAGCTGTAGAGCACGGGATTTTATGTTTATTTTTGGAAATGGGTTTTAAGAGACTGAGAAGTACTGTTCTGGGACTATAACCACTTTGAGTGAAAAAGAAGAAAAATGTTTTTTCTTTCTAAGGTTTTTATTTAGAAAAGAGTGACAAGGAAAATATTCTAAGCCAAGAACAAACATATTTAAAGCCCTAGGAATAATGCTGGAGTATTTAAGAGGCATTTTCTGGTAGAACTTTAGCTTATAATGTCTTTGAAATGGACATCTAACCCAGTGGTTCTCAACCAGGAACAGTTCTTCACCACTGCCCCAGGATATCTGTCAGCATTTATAGACACTTTTGATTGTCACAAGTTCAGAGGACCTATTGGCATCTAATGAGTCGAACCCGGGATATTGCTGAACATTGTATGGTGTGCAGGGCAGACCCCCCACAACAATTATCCCAAATGTCAGTAGCACTACTGTTGAGAAACCTTGCTTTAAACTCATCCCCAGCACGAGACATGATTTACCTCTACTCCCAGGCATTGGCTAGCAGAAAACCAGGGAAGAATGAATGTTCCAGCTGAAGGTTTTTCGAAGTCTCTGTGTCCACATGCAGAAGAGTATCTGGGTGGACTGAGATGATACCTACTGTCTGATGTGGGCTCGCCAGCATAAGTTGGTGGGAGGAGCAGGGTGTTGTACAGTGTAGAACTTGACTGCATTTTTATGCAAATAGAAGAATGAATATCCCCATTTTCTTGTAGGAAATTGTTTACTACAACGAGCAGCTGGAGCAGGAAATGAGGCAGCAGCTCTTTTCCTGGCAACCAGTGGTGCCCATGTCAACCACAGAAACAAGTGGGTAAGTGTAACAGGGCAGCCAGAGGAAATGGTTCTGGTCTGCAGAAGAATTAGCAATGATGACTATGCAGGAAAAAATGGAATCAATTATTTTTTTAAATTTTTGTCAAAATAATACATGCATTATGTTTTTTAAAAAAACCCAGTGAAATAGATTTTTTTACATTTCCTCAAGTATTGGTTGAATCCTTCAGTGACCATATCCTAAGCATTTGCTATATATCAGGCCTTGAACTAGATAGTGTGAACTTTATAGTCTAACAGACATTCACAAACATGTACACAAACCTATCATGGTAGCATCTTGATTCTTTTTTTTTTTTTTTGAGTTGGAGTCTCTCACTCTGTCACCCAGACTGGAGTACAGTGGCACGCTCCCGACCACTGCAGCCTCGACCTGCTGGGCTTCAGCAATCCTTCCGCCTCGGCCTTCCAAGTAGCTGGAATTACAGGCGTGCGGTACCGCACCCGGCTAGTTTTTGATTTATTGTAGAGACGAGGTTTCGCCAAGTTGCCCTGGTGGGTCTAGAACCCGCGGGCTCAGGCAATCTGCTCGCCTTGGCCTCCCAAAGTGCTGGAATTACAGGCTGAGCCACCGAGCCCGGCCTCATCTTGATTCTTTATAACGCTTCACATTTGGAATTATGTGTCCATACTGTAAGCTAACAAGGTAGAATGTACAGTATTATGTTTAAAAGAATGACCTTTGGGTTACTGAGTTTACCAGTTTTCCCATTTCTTCCTGTGTAATCTTAGCTTCAGTTTCCTCATCTGTAAAATGGGATTAATACTAATTTCATAGGATGTGGCTAAAATGGGAGGAATTGATAGCGTGTAAGTGCTTATTAGCATAGTATCTGGGGCATTAGATACTGAATGATAATTATTTTACTCTATTATTTCCAGACAAGGGGAATGTGCTTATCTTTGAGATCATATTTGTCTTACAGCTACTTTGTGCTAGGAGCTTCAAGGATATTAACTCTTTTAATTCTCACAGTGGTCCCGAAAGCAGCATGTTGTTAGGATTGAAGAGATCTTTTCCACGTCTATAAATCCCTCAATATAGGACAAATGAGGTTCTGAGAGGCTAAGTGGCTTATAAATAATGAAGTTGGCATTAAGGTGCAGGTACTAGACTGTATGGTACAGACTCTCTTGACAGCACTGGACAAGGCAGTAAATAATATGCCTGGTAGCTGCTCCATACCAGCGGATCGTGGAAGCACAGGAGAGAGGGCAGTGCCGTCTTTCTACCTCTGCTCATCTGTCGCATGTGGCCTGCTCTCCACCTGAATGATGGCATATCCTTGTGCTCACTGGAGGCTGGTTTCTTCTTTGGTCTCTGCATGCCATCCCCTCTCACCTTCTCAGTGTCTTTGCTCCTGCCAATGTATGTCTCTGTCTCTGTCTTTCTCCTGCTTTATTTTATTTATTTATTTATTTATTTATTTATTTGAGTTGGAGTCTCACTCTGTCACCCAGACTGGAATGCAGCAGCCGCTCCCAGCCACTGTAGCCTTAACCTGCTGGGTTCCAGAGATCCTTCCGCCTCAGCCTTCCAAGTAGCTGGAACTACAGGCACGCGTTACCACGCCTGGCTAATTTTTGATTTATTGTAGAGATGAGGTCTCACCAAGTTGCCCAGGCAGGTCTTGAACCCGCTGGCTCAGGCAATCCACTCATCTCGGCCTCCCAAAGCACTGGGATTACAGGCTGAGCCACTGAGCCCAGCTTTTCTGCTTTATTAATTTTGCCCTCTATTTCTGGTAGCATAGAGACATGTTCTGCTGTCTCCTAACTTTAAAAATCCTCCCTTGAGTCCACATTGTCTACCAGCTGCTGTTCCTTCCCTGATACCCTTCATAGCAAAACTGAGTGGCACTAAAATGTAGAGACGCAAGGGAGGCCTGACTTGAAAACCAGTGAGAGCAGCACTGGAGAAGGTCCTGAAATGCTGGTTTCTGGTTTTTGAGCTTAATCCTATGGGAAGAGATGATCTAAAGGAGGATTTTGGGAGAAGAGCCAGTATGATTGTTTTAGAGTTGAGAAAGATGCCTGGAATGGCTGGCATGGTGGGTGTGCCATGGAGTCCCGCCTGGGAATCATCTAGACAAGCAGTGATCTGGACCTGTCCTGACCTTTACATTGGATTTGGACCCAAAGGGACAGGTTTCAGAGGAATTGCAAAATTATAGTCAGTGAGACATGCATGCTTAAGGTTCCCAGAAGCAAGGGCAAGTGAGGTTTTAAAACTATTGTGGTTTACCCATGAAAGAAAAAGGGAACTGACCCAGGAGGAGAGACTGGTGTGGAGAGAGTAAACTCCATTGCAAACATTGAATTCCTTTCTAAACATTTAGGCAGGAATTTCTAGCAGGCGGTAGGAAAATTGGATACCAAAACAGGACTGGGGACCTGGAATTGAGAGTCTCCAACTTGTAGATAATGGTAGGAATTGTGGGAGTTATCAGATATGCCTACCCAGAGAGAATGTAGGAAGAAGGACTGGGGCAAAAGACAACCCTGAGAAGGAACATACGCTGGGGAGGGCTCTCTCTACAGTTACAGTGCGACCTTGTGTGGAAGATTTGGAATGAGAAGGGTACATGAAGGTCCAAGAATAAAAGTGCTTAATCCTTACCTACCACAGTGACAAGTCCACAGAAAATGTCCAGTGTAGGAAAGTCAAGAGGCAGCAGTAAAAACATGTTAGTTAGGAATATGGAGATTTAAAAACCAGGTGAAAGAACTGAAAATGGTTCCTTCTGGGAAAGGAGAACTTTTTGAGAGAAAAGGAGGAGGTTGGATTTGCCAATTTTGACAAGCCTTGTAGTGTTCTTAACTCTTTAAGTGATGAAGATGCTTAACTTTGATAAGAGCAAGGTGTAAAGCAGTATGGTCAGTTGGTTTCCATTTGTTTGGGTGAAAAAAATTCAGTGTGCATATGTATACATATACATACACACATGTACATGCATATGTGTGTATATGTGTTTTCCTGTGCATGTTCTGGCACTGGACAGAAATGTGAAACTTGTAATAATGGTTCCAGGCATGAGTGGAGACTTCACTAAATTCTTGTACCTTTTGAATATTGAATCAGGTACCTGTAATACCAATTAAAAAAATTTTTTTTTTTAGAAAGCAGGATTTATTGAGAGGACAGAAAAGCTCCCACAGTGGGAGGGGACCCGAGGCGGTTGCCCTAAAAATTTTTTTAAATGGAGGAAGGAGGTCTTGATCAGAGTTCAAGGTGAGATTAATGTGAACAGGTCAAAGAAGTAGGGTATACTAGTGGAGAGTTAAAGAGAAGTGATGATCATACTGCTGACACTGCTTTTCTCTGAAGCTGTAACTTTGAGAGGTTCCCATTTCCTGCAGTTTGTTTTGATAACACTTGTAGATTGTTGTTTTGTCATAAGCATATATTATTTTTTTATTATTTATTTAGTTAGTTAGTTTTTGAGTTGGAGTCTCTTACTCTGTTGCCTAGGCTGGAATGCAGTGGCACGCTCACGGCCACTGCAGCCACGACCTGCTGGGCTCAGGTGATCCTTCCGCCTCAGTCTTCCAAATAGCTGGAACTACAGGCACATGCCACCACGCCTGGCTGATTTTTTGATTTGTTGCAGAGTTGAGGTCTCACCAAGTTTCCCAGGCTAGTCTTGAAACCATGGGCTCAGGCAATCTTCTCACCTTGGCCTCCCAAAGTGCTGGGATTATAGGTGTGAGCCACCGTACCCGGCCCAGCATATATTAATTTTATAATTAGAAAAAATTATAAAAACAAAATGAAGGGTGGTTAAGGAGGTCATAAGAGATGAAGATATTGGTACAGTTCACACCTGTGATCACAGTACTCTGGGAGACTGAGTTGGGAGAATTGCTTAAGGCTAGGAGTTCAAGACCAGCCTGAGCAACATATTAAGACCCCATTTCTTTTTTTTTTAAGTTCAAATGATGAATTTTATTTATTTATTTCATATATTTTTTTTCTTATTATAAAGATGTGGGGTACAATTCAGGGATAGTTACACAAACGTTGATTGTGCAGGTATACTTGTTGATGAGGTGTGCCCTTCCCTCCCCTAGCAGTTTTTCTCAACTGCGAATCCCACTCTGCCTCCCCTGACAGTTTCCCACTACTGCCAATCCCTTTCTTATAGTATTATAATTGTTCAAGGTCCATTTATGAGTGAGATTTTTTTTCCATTCAGGGAGAAACCCCATTGCACACAGCTTGTCGGCATGGCCTAGCCAACCTCACTGCAGAGCTCCTGCAGCAAGGTGCCAACCCAAACCTGCAGACAGAGGAAGCTCTGCCCTTGCCAAAGGAGTCTGCATCCCTGAATGGCCTGGTGGACAGTGTCTATCTGCAGACGCCGCTGCACATGGCAATTGCTTATAATCATCCAGATGTGGTGTCTGTCATCCTGGAGCAGAAAGGTAGGTAGTTGAGAATTTCACCCATCCATCTGACTTGTGGACAGTGGTTTCAGGTAGTCAACCACAGAGTTAATGTTCCTTCCATTGGTGAGTTTTATATAGCCAGTTTCTTACCAAAGATTATTTCAGGTTAGGCTCTTGACTACTGTTTTTCCTGTGTATGTTTTCAGCATGGGACCTGCCCATTTCATCTGTTAGGTTAGGTTTTGGACCCTTTGATTCTGCTTTCTCTTATTTTGGGGTATTTTTCCAGGCCATTTTAGTGTAGGTTAAGCAAAGTTTTCTTTTGGTATGAGTGCTGTCTTTGAGAACTCTGCTGTGGCAGGTCTTCCATGAACTGGTCAGTCCTTTCATCTGTTTCTGAACCTCCTTGGCAGGTGACCCGTGAGAGAGGAGCCAGAAAGAGGAACCAAGAGAAGCCCCTGCAGTAGAGAAGGCCCATTTCCCTCAGAAAGTCTTCCTCAGGTTTTCTTTCCTGTCCTGACATTTGTCTTACTCCAGCCTCAACCCTTGTTAAAGCCAGCATTTTTTAGCACTGTGCTTCTGGAAGGAGGTGGAGTTTTAGGTAGAATGTGACTTTTTCTTGGTACTCACAGAAGATTAGTAAAAGTTATATATTAGGAAAACATCAGGGCATTGTTTTAATCCTCGTTTTTAGCAATTAAGGAATTAATTTGTGTTTCCACAGTTGAGTCTGTTTCCTTATATAAAGAGTCAATGTTTTAAGTTTATAAAAATTCATTTTCCCTCTAAGCTTTGCTCTAAAATAACAGATTTCTGAGTTTCGGCTCCCCACAAAATTTATCTGTTTTTTGAATAACAGTGATCGTATTCTAGCCTGTCATTCAGTTTGAAACTGAGTTCTTATTCTGTTGAGTGCTTTATTTGTTTGTTTGTTTTTCTGAGTTGGAGTCTCACTCTTTTGCCCAGGCTGGAGTGCAATGGCATGCTCATGGCCACCGCAGCCTTGATCTGCTGGGCTCAGGTGATACTTCCACCTAGCCTTCCAAGTAGCTGAAATCACAGGTGTGTGCCACTACACCTGGCTCATTTTTTGATTTATTGTAGAGACGAAGTCTTGCCAAGTTGTCCATGCTGGCCTCAAACCCATGGGCTCAGGCAATTCTCTCTTCTCTGCCTCCCAAAGGGCTAGGTTTACAGTTGTGAGCCACCTTTGCCTGACCTGTTGAATGCTTTAAATGTGATCCATGGGATGGTGAAATCAAGTGTTGTTTTCCTTTTCAAAAAATTTAGCCAATGCTCTTCATGCCACCAACAACTTGCAAATTATTCCGGACTTCAGCCTCAAAGATTCCCGAGACCAGACTGTGCTGGGCCTAGCATTATGGACTGGTAAGGCTGGGCCACAGGTTGTTGGTGTCTGCAGACAGACAGCTGTCAGAAGGGCAGGCCAGTGGGTAAGGGAGAGGGAGGGAGGAGAGTGGGGCTAATCATTTGGTTGTAAAATAATCTTTCTGTTTGTGTTAAGCCTGTTAAATTCGGTGGAAAACTGCTGGTTTTGAGAAGTTGAAGGGGTACCTTTATTGCAGTAAGATGTTAATGAAGTGGGAAAAGCTGAGTATGCATTATATCAGGGCTTGTTTATTTCCCAGGCATGCATACCATTGCAGCCCAGCTGCTGGGCTCTGGTGCGTCTATCAATGACACCATGTCGGATGGGCAGACTTTGCTCCACATGGCCATCCAGCGACAGGACAGCAAGAGTGCACTCTTTCTTCTGGAGCATCAGGCAGATATAAATGTCAGGTAGGATGAAACAGCACTCTCCAGGTCACATTTAATTGAGATGATTCAAAAGCAGAGTCTTGCTTGTATAAAATATTTTTGTTTCTTATTAAATATTCGTTAACATTTTGTTTCTTATTAAATAAAGAGAAACAATGGCTCTAAAAATGTACAAATGCAGTGTTGTAATGAATATAATTAGTAGACTTGTGTAATGGAGAAGGGGAACTTATTTGAACCTTTCAGGACCAGTGCACAGTATTGCACAAATTTCATTACAAAGGACAATCTAAAATCACATTTTAATAAGGAATTTCAGTTATAATTAAGTACATTCTGACAAATGAGCTACCAACAAGACTTGAGGGGAAAAGAGACACAAGCAAATTTTTATTGCGATCGTACTTCAGAAAGAATTTATCTTTATCTCCAAGTGACCCTGAATGACTGAGTGGAGGAAAGAAGTGTTTTGTTAAATGGCTAGTTGGGATGGCATTTTATTAGGATGCTATTAATAGCAATTATATTCCTATAATATTCAACACATTGAAATGCTAGTTTTTAGCTATATGCAATTAGGGACATGGCTATATTTTCTTAAAAAGCAGAAGAGACAGACACCATTGACAGATTTAATTTCTGAGAAATTATGAATAAATGTGAGAAAATACTAATGAATGTGAGTAGAGTACTTTAAGGGATACAGTGAATTCTGGGCTCTGGAGTACCCAGGGGGTTATCCTTTATCCTTTGACTCCAGCTACAAACATTGGTTGGGTGTGTATGTCCTATCAGGACTCAGGATGGGGAGACAGCCCTTCAGCTGGCCATCAGAAATCAGCTTCCGCTCGTAGTTGATGCCATATGCACCCGAGGAGCTGACATGTCTGTGCCAGATGAGAAGGGGAACCCCCCACTGTGGCTTGCATTGGCCAGCAATCTGGAGGACATCGCATCCACTCTGGTGAGACAGCACAGTTTTAACCTCTGTTTATAGATGGGGATATTTGGTATCAGAGGTAGATTTGGTGCCTACATAGTAAGTATAGGAGCAAGAGATCTACCAAGTGACAAATTGTGTCAAGGGGAAACAGTTGAAAGTCAAATTAAAGAAACTTGTAGTTCAACATAGTCTTAGCCAACAGTTTTGTTTGTAGGTGATCTTTACCAAGAAAACTACCAAGTAGCAAAAAGTAGAAAAATTTCCTCAGGCATCTTCCCCTGTGGTGGGTTAATTGGATGTGGGCTGCTCTCACTGTCACCATAGTGATAAATTCCCAGTCTTAGGTTTATCTCCCTTGTTCATAAGAAAGTGGAGGTAAACCTGGAAGTTCTTATTTAACAATCTGAAGGGCCTATAATGTGACAATAAGGCGTTTTGGATCTAGAGATTCTATTCAGTTGTTATTAAGACTGCCTGTTAATTATAGATATGTGTTACTGAGGACTTATGGGTGCATGTGTTTTCTGTCCCTTATAGAACACAGCTCTAGAGGGCACTAATTAAACATCTTATTTATATTTCCCAAACCCATCCACAGGACTTAGTGCAGGAACTTGCTCAGAGCAGATTTTGATTAGTGTTTATAAAACTAGTGATCAATACAGATTAATTATCAGTTAATTCTCAATTGTATCTTATCTGAAAAATGGATATAATGATCTACATAGAGCTCAGATTTGGTAATAAAAATTTTCATTGTTGCTCAGCAGTGTCTGTGAGTAACCTGTGTTTTTCTGCAGGTCAGACATGGTTGTGATGCCACATGCTGGGGTCCAGGACCTAGTGGGTGCCTTCAGACACTCCTGCACAGAGCTATTGATGAAAATAATGAGTCTACTGCCTGCTTTCTTATTCGCAGGTCTGAGAAGCCTAGTATTTCTTGACATCTTATATAGCTTATAGCACACTGGCTCTTTTCTTATTTTAATCTATCTGCAGTTTTGGCATGCCTGTGGCTGGCTTGACTCTCATAATTAAGACTATCAGAGGGTCAGTGTTCTGTGATATCAGGTCAACCAGGGGCCAGGTTCACCTGTGAGGAGAGAGGCTTATGTGCCTGGATTAAAGAATTTGAGGGCCAGGCTCAGTGGCTCAGCCTGTAATCCCAGCACTTTGGGAGGTTAAGGCGAGTGGATTGCCTGAGCCCGCAGGTTCTAGACCAGCCTGGGCAACTTGGTGAGACATCATCTCTACAATAAAATAAAATAAAAAATTAGCCGGATGTGGTAGTATGCACCTGTAGTTCCAGCTACTTAGAAGGCTGAGGCCGAAGGATCGCCTGAGCCCAGCAGGTGAACGCTGTGGTGGCTGGCTGTGAGTGTGACTTGGCACGCCAGCCTGGGCGACAGAGTGAGACTCCAGCTACAAAAAAAAAAAAGAATTTGAAAGTTGAGCCAGCGTCTTGCTGTGGGAGCAGCATGGGCTTCTGTAGTCCTGTCAGACCAGTTCACACCGTGAAGCCAGGAGGCTGCGGTGGAAGAGACCAGATGGCCTCTGAAGATACAGCCTCCATAAGCCTCTTGGAGTGTAGAATATGTGGGAGCCAAAGTTATTCGGGAAACTTTTAGAGCAGTGGCTCTCGGACTTTAAGTGGGTGCACATCCTCTAGAGAGCTTTTTTTTTCTTTTTCTTTTTTGTAGAGATGGAGTCTTACTGTGTTGCTCAGGCTGGTCTCCAACTCCTGGCCTCAAGCAAGCTTTGACCTTCTAAAGCACTGGGATTTTAGGCATAAACTATTGCACCTGGCATACATAGGGAGCTTTTAACAACTCTGATGCCCAGATTGCCCCCAGGACCAATTACAGAAGAACCTATGGGGGTGGGACCCATACTCCCGTACCTGAGGCCAAGGACCAAGGCTAGCAGACCTGGTTGGGTTGGATGCGGTTGCTGCTGTACATTTATCAGCATGCCTGTAGACCTGGTGGAAGCATGGCCTTCCTTTTATTTCCCCATTCCTTTCAGTGGCTGTGATGTGAATAGTCCCAGACAACCAGGTGCTAATGGAGAAGGAGAGGAAGAGGCTAGAGATGGGCAGACCCCCTTGCATTTGGCAGCCTCTTGGGGACTAGAAGAGACAGTACAATGTCTTCTGGAGTTTGGTGCCAATGTGAACGCACAGGTATGTAGATTCTCTTTTCCACGGAGATGTGTAGTGACCCCAGAATTAGGGCAATCTCCTCCTATGGCAAACGACTTTGCAGATTCCCCAGTCCTAGGCCCCTGCTTTGCTGTGAACAAGACTGCAGTTGAACAGCTTTCTCTGAGTCATGCAGCTTGCCTAGTAATTTCAGTGATTTCAGATAAGACTTCTTCTCTGTAGCTTTGTCCTCATTATGGCATGAGGAAGATTTGTTTTATCTGTTTTCCTTTGCCTCCTATTCTCCCTAGTTACAGATTTCCACTGAGAGTTGTTTAGTCTCAAACTAAGTACTGTGTTTAGGAACATCTTTGGGTAGCTTACTTGAGTACCCCTGAGTTATACTCCTGGATACTATTCAACATTCTAGCCTATGAAGATGCATATACAAGACCCTGTTGTCAGATACAGAGTGGTATACCTTAGAACTGAGGCTGACTGCAGATGTTCTAAAACAAATGAGTTTGTGCCGGACCCACTGTCACCAAGGGGTCACTGGAGCATGGTGTAACAGAGAGTGGCTTTTCAGTCATTTCTGTGTTTGGTCTTTTTAAAAGCTGAGTCAAACACAGGGTGGTAGTATTGGTTCTCACACAAGAATTTGATTTAAAAGTTATCCCCCTTCATATTTTTCCAGAGTTTTATCTTCTTTCAGTTGAATGTTGAAATCTGAGCCTTGTTCCTATAGGATGCAGAAGGAAGAACACCCATCCATGTGGCCATCAGCAACCAACACAGTGTCATCATTCAGTTGCTGATTTCTCACCCTGATATCCACTTGAATGTGCGAGACAGACAAGGGCTGACCCCATTTGCTTGTGCCATGACTTACAAGAATAACAAGGCAGCTGAGGCCATTCTGAAGCGAGAGTCTGGGGCTGCTGAGCAGGTGAGTGACTGATGCCTCACAGTCTTCATACTATGCTAAGCACAGCAGAGCCTGTTACATGGAGACAAAACAGGTGTCACCAACTAAACAGGTCTCTTTTTTTTTTTTTTGAGTTGGAGTCTCGGTCACCCAGACTGGAGTGCAGTGGCTGCTCCCGGCCACCGCAGCCTCGACCTGCTGGGCTCCAGCGATCCTTCCGCCTCAGCTTTCCGAGTAACTGGAATTACAGGCATGCGCTACCACGCCCGACTGATTTATTGATTTATTGTAGAGATGAGGTCTCGCTGCCCAGGCGGGTCTCGAACCCGTGGGCTCAGGCAATCCACTCACCTCAGTCTCCCAAAGGCGCAGGATTATAGGCTGAGCCACTGAGCCTGGCTAGGTCTCTTTTATATAAAGACATTTATTTTAAAATTATACTCCCCGGCCAGATGTGGTAGCTCATGCCTATAATCCCAGCACTTTGGGAGGTGGAGGCGAGAGGATTGCCTGGATCTAGGCATTCAAGACCAGCTTGGGCAACTTGGCAGACCTCATCTCTACAATAAATAAAAAATTAGCCAGCCATGGATGGTGGTGCACACTTGTGGTTCCAGCTACTTGGAAGGCTGAGGCAGAAGGATCACTTGAGCCCAGCAGGTTGAGTCTGTGGTGTCCGTGAGTGTGCCACTGACTCCAGTCTGGATGAAAGAGTGAGACTCCAACTAAAAAAAAAAAAAATTAAAATGAGCTTGAGCTTGTGTTGTAATGTTGGGCAACTTTCCGGGTGTTTCAGAGGAGTTAAGTTATTCAGCTCAGCAGGCTCAGTCGTCCTTGGTCGTCATGGTTCTTTACCAGCTGCTCATTCTAAATGATGAATTGTTGATCTGCAACAACAGATTGGGTGGGAAACAATAATAACAACTGATCTGTGCAGGAACAGGGATGGGTTTGTTGAGTCAGTCCTACAGAAACCTGAATCTACAGGCAGCATTTAGAGTACTGCCAGGATTTATAAATAACCACTTATGAAAGTGAATTGGAAACTTGGGGCCTGAAATAAATGAAATCCCAGCATGGCTGAAGAGTGCAGGATTCTGGACATCACCTTCCTTCTACATTTTCCTAAATGTGACTAGATTGTGTAGGTGTTAACCTCACACTCTCTTGGGCAGTATAGAATGTTCATGAATGGAGGTAGTCATCTCACAGTTCCTCTCCACCTAGCATGAAGCTGTGCTGTCATTGAAGTTCTTTGTAGGTACATTGCTTGTTACACCGGCACATGCTGAGCATGTGTGTGAGGTAATGTGGCATGCGTGTGGATGGATGTCTCCCTCACGTCCACCAGAGCACTCATGCTAAAGATAGCTCTTGTAAGTACATTATCCCCTGTGGTTTGATCTCAGCTCTGTTGGCTCCACATCAGTAGAACAAAGTCTGTGACATACTGTTGGCTGCCTCCCCCATTGTGTGTTATTCTGTAGCTCAGTAAAAGAGGAAACTTTCTGAATATTTCTGAAACCTTTGTTTGACTGCCCAGGAGTCAGGCTGGCATTGCAGCTGGGGTGTTAGGATGCTAAGTGCTTGTTTAAGCCAAAGCAAAGAAATTCCCAAGGCTAGTTTCCAACTTCACCTTCCCCTGAGCATCCCAGTATTTTGGTGCCTTCCTTCCCCTGTCCTTCATGTTGTCTCTTTGTGGCTTTTCATGTCCAGTTCCTGCTGTAGGAGGATGCCAAGGTGACAGCTTCCCTCCTCTGACCACATGGATGTGACCATGCATGTGTGGTTACATGTACAAATGTGGAGAGGGAGCCTGTTGTGTGGGCAGGGGGTGGCTTTGAGTGTTGGTTCTGGGGAAAGACTACATCATACCCTCACCAGTGGTCAGCACAGCTCACTGGTGCTCAGAGGTACTTGTAAAAGGGAGCCCTTTAAGGTTTTGTTTCCCCCTTGTTACCATAGGTGGATAACAAGGGCCGGAATTTTCTTCACGTGGCGGTTCAGAACTCTGATATTGAAAGTGTCCTGTTCCTGATCAGTGTCCAGGCTAATGTGAATTCCAGAGTACAGGATGCTTCGAAGTTGACCCCTTTGCACCTTGCTGTTCAAGCGGGCTCAGAGATTATTGTCCGCAATTTGGTAAGTGGCACAGAACTATTGCATGTAATATGGACAAAGCACATTGTAGAGCATTGCAGAATCTCTAATTACAGGTGTTTGGCCAGGTACTAGGAAAGGCCAGCGTGACTTTGGGGAAGTAGGGCAGTACCCTCAGGAAAACAGGTGTGCCAGGGGCTGCGTGTCCTGAGTGCACAGTGGGCCACATGGGCCACTGGATGGGCAGATGCTGAGGTGGGGCCCTGAGGGAGGGTAGGATTTTGAGGCAGAGGCAGAGTGGCAACATAGAGTGAGTGGAGGTCCACTTCTATCATCTGCCTGTTCTCTGTCAGGCATTCTCCTAGGGCTTTGAAGTGAGTTGTCTCTCTTAATTCTCAAAGCTACAGAAGAGTAGGACATTTTTCACATTCACAAAGGTGAAAATTTAGGCTCAGAGAGAATTTTTTTCTCCCGAGACTCTCAGCTGAGAGTATGGGATTTTAGCCTTTTCTGTTTGACTCCAAATTCTGCTTCTCCAATACAACATAATGCCACCCAGGAAGGGAAAGGGACTTAGCAAAGATGAGAAGACGGGGAAGGGCATGTGGTATATTTTATGTAGGAAGGTTTGTTGGAATTGGAGTACAGAGTGGAAAGAGATGGGGTTAGCAAGGCAGACTGACCAGACTGTAGGTGTCAATTTCAAGCCAAGAACTGTGAGAAGCCTTTATCTCTTAGGCAGTGGAGAAACCACATAAGTGTGTGAGCTGAGAGAATAGTCAAGAGCTGAGGTGGGCTCCACTCTGCATCACCTGGCCTGCTCCTCAGTGCTGGCTGGCTCTAGTGCCTCCCACCAGCGCAGATGCATGCCTCAGAATGGCTACGAGGGCACTTGACCAGGCTTTGGTGCCCTGGCATTTTGTTTCTGAAAAACACTTTTAAGGAAAACCTTTATGACCTGATATGTGTTTGAGCTGAGGGTACCTAAAGAAGATGCCTGACTGGGCACAGTGGCTCACGCCTATAATCCCAGCACTTGGGAAGCTGAGGTGAGAGGATTGCCTGATCCCATGGGTTTGAAACCAGCCTGGGCTACTTGGCGAGACCTCATCTCTACGATAAAACAAAAAATTAGCCGGGTGTGGTGACACATGCCTGTAGTTCCAGCTACTTGGAAGACTGAGGCAGAAGGGCTGCCTGAGCCCAGCAGGTAGAGACTGAGGTGGCTGGGAGTGTGCCACTGCCCTCTAGTCTGGGTGACAGAGTGAGACTCCAACTCAAAAAAAAAAAGTTGCCTTAGGAGTGAGGTGTACAGGTATAGAGGCAGAATCACCAGTGAAGAGACCTAGAAGTGGCAGCAGCAGTGAAGGATGGACTGGAGAATGGGTGAAGATGTGGGTCTTATGACATCAGGAAGTGTAGGGGGAAACAGCCAAGGAGGTAGAGGTGGGCCTTGAAGTAGTAGGGCTTGGGCCTTATGCTCATCAGGCTTCCGGCCTCCTGAAAGCCCAGGGAGCTTTGAGGTCCTTCACCAAGGTCATCCTCCTGCCTCCCTAAGGCCTGCTGTCACAGGGGATAGGAGTGCCCAGAAACAACTGGTCTTCCCGTGTCCATGTGTTCCTTCCTCTCTGAACTGGTGTAGGATAGTATTTGAATGGAAACAATGCCTTAGCCACCAGTTAACCAATCTTGGGGTTAGCTGTGATCCCTAGCACAGCATAGTGACCATGAATGACCCTCTATGATATGTCCTATCTGGAGTGTCCCATATCTGCTCACGGCATTTCTTATCTGTGAATGATTTGACTAGGTACCCAGAGTTCTAGGGAGGCTGGGACTTAGAAGTCAGGGTCAGAAACAGAGCAGTTAACCACTCCCTAGATTCTCCCAGAGGTAGGTACCTGGACACACAGATGGAGGAACCAGGAGTGGCCTCAGACTCAGGAGAGGCCAACTGGGCTCTGACTACAAGCTACAGAGTATCTTCTGTTAATAGCAACTGTCTTTGAAATTTTGTTAGAAAGAAGATGATGAATGAACTTCAAATACCAAGTAAATAGACAAGATATTATTTAACGGTCCTTCCTGGCTTTAATTCTATAACTTTCTGTGTTCTTTCTTTTTAAAAATAATATAAAAATAGTACATACTCAATGTGAAAAAACTTTAAGCACATGAAAATGTAAAACAGTATCTCCCTCTTATTCCTTACTGTCCTCTGAGTTTGGTGCATATACTTTTAAACACTTTAAAAGTGTGTATATATTTGTGTGTGCAAATGGATGCACGTGTATACATATCTCTCTATGTCTCCAAATGGAATCATTACTTCTAACTTGCAGGGGATTTTTTAACTTACAATATTGTTGTCTTTTCATATTAATCTCTAAATATTTATCATCTTAATGACTACCTATTCTATTGTTTGTATATATTATAATTTTTAAAACTAAACCTTTTTTGCCATCAGATTTTCCTATTTCATTCAAATAGATATTCTCATACAGTACAGTGAATATCAGTGCAACCCTGTATACTTCTTATGTACTGAAGTCTTTTAAAGTAGTTTTTTTGTACCAAAGAATAGCTGTTTAACACTTTTTTTTTTTTTTTTTTTTGAGTTGGAGTCTCACTCTGTTGCCCAGACTGGAGTGCAGTGGCTGCTCCCGGCCACCGCAGCCTCGACCTGCTGGGCTCCGGCGATCCTTCCGCCTCAGCCTTCCGAGTAGCCGGAATTACAGGCGCGCGCTACCATGCCTGGCTAATTTTTTTGATTTATTGTAGAGATGAGGTCTCGCCTGCCCAGGCGGGTCTCGAACCCACGGGCTCAGGCAATCCACTCACCTCAGCCTCCCAAAGGCATGGGATTACAGGCTGAGCCACCGAGCCCGGCTTGTTTAACATTTTTGGTAGATAATTGCTGATTTGCCCTTGGCATAGGTTTTGTTGGCTTACACATCACCAGGAGTATGGCCCCTATGCTCCCTGCTCTGCCAGCAGGACAGACCATCACTCTCTATGGATGTTCCCATGAGTAGGACCTTTATTGTGGTAAGGAGGCTGCTCATGTAATCAACTTCAACAGCTTCTTGCAGGAGCCAAAGTGAATGAATTAACCAAGCATCGCCAGACTGCCCTCCATCTTGCTGCCCAGCAGGACCTGCCCACCATCTGCTCTGTCCTCCTGGAGAATGGAGTGGACTTTGCTGCTGTGGACGAGAATGGAAATAATGGTAATTCCTAGTCATTCCTCTGTGTACCACTAGTGCTGAGCAATCCCTCCATTCTAGGGGTGGAAGTTCAGTGCACCCTCAAGTCTACTTCCCTTTGGGGAGGTTGGCTTTTATAGGAGCAGAGCTATAATAGAAAGTACTATGGGCAGGGCATCCAGCCTGCTATTGACCAGGCCTTGGGCAACCTGCCTGGTAGCCCTGGAAGCCTGAAGCGTCTTCTTGGGAAACTGTTAAATCTCACCTTTGGATAATGCTGAAGCAGAAAGCAAAGGCTCACATGATTGTGTTTGTAAGGGTGGTAAAGTCCAGAAAGGAAGGTGCTGTGTGTGGCCAGTTGCTGTTCTGGCTGGGTCCTATTTACAGGGAGATGTGTGAGAGTGAGGAGGAGTTGAGACTTTTCTGCATGTGCTTCTGGGCTTGCACAATAAGAGGATTTACTCCCCAGCTCTTCATCTTGCTGTCATGCATGGTCGGCTCAACAACATCCGGGTTCTCCTGACAGAGTGCACAGTGGATGCTGAAGCCTTTAATCTGAGGTGAGTGTGTCTGGTTCAGAGCAAGGACCAGGGCTCCATGGCACCTGGCCTGCTGCTCAGGGCTGGTGGTCCCTGGTGCCTCCTGCCAGCCCCAGTGCACACTGCAGAACAGGCCACCAGGGCACTTGACCAGTTTTTGGTACCCTGGATTTTTATAAAAAACACTTTTTAGAAAAATTTTGTGACCAATTATGTGTCCTTTAGATTTATACAGCATCACAGAACTCATAAAATTCCATTAAATATAGTGTATTATGGTCATGGCAGATGTATACCTAACTTTTCCAACTTGTTTTGTCAGAGGCCAATCACCACTGCACATTTTGGGACAATATGGCAAAGAGAATGCAGCAGCCATCTTTGATCTCTTCTTAGAGTGCATGCCTGAATACCCTCTAGACAAACCAGATACAGAAGGCAACACGGGTATGTAATAAGGTGTCTATATGTCCTGTCTCATTTGCATGCCTTGCTTCCTGGAAAAATAAGAGCGCAAGCACACATGTCATTGTCTGAGGCCTTTCAGCTCTGTAGTGCATTTTGGCTGGGCTCTCCGAGCATCTATCACAGATGCCTGTCTTGGAATCTGGAGTGTCTGATTTTAGGCACAAACACAACTGAAGTGCATTTAGTGCTCCACCACATCCATGTCTAAACAGGCCTGCCTGCCTGTTTTTATTTCCCTCATCTACCTTTTTTCCTGTCAACTGTGGCCCAACCCAAAATCCCAAATTACAGCAAAGAGAGAAAATATAAGCCCTTCACTGAGGCTTCATTAGGAAATGTGCTGCAGACTGCATTGATGTGCTTTGAAAAAGTGGCGAATTGTGTACAGATACATGGGACATCTTCTTATTGAGAGGTCTGATGAATAGGTCTCCTCGTGGTTTGCTCTAGCTACCCACGATCACTGTTTTTATATGTGTAACTTTCATGGCATTATTTACATATTTCGGCATTAATTTTTTTGTTGAATACTCACAACAATCCCATAAGGTAAGCAGTGCACATAGTTGTATCCCCATTTTTCAGGTAAGGAAACAAAGTCTCAAAAAAACCAGAATGAAACCGAGATCCCTTTCGTCCTAGCCCTGAGTTCTCTGAGCACCTTGCTGCTGCTGCTTTCCCATTCATTCTCCCCTTATACCAGAGAGGCCTCCATGGCCGTTGGCAGAAGTGGAGTCACCATGGGATTCTTTGAACCTCAGCATGGGACCAAATATTTTGTCACTATTCTTGGCTTTGGGAAGAATCTCTGGCTTTGATGCATGAATGTGCTTTTTAAGCTGGTAGTGATGGGCCTGAGCTTTGGAGGAGTCAACCCTAGGAGTGAGCTGCTTGGCCATACTCAGTGAGCATCACTGCCCAGGAACTAGAGAACAGGCAGGCAGGGGCATCATGTCTAGACTTTTGATACAGAGACCTAGTTCAGTGCTCAGCCCTGTCATATTCTAGCAGGATGACAGGAGAAATTTTCTAATCCCTCTATGCCTGTTTCTTCTTTTGATCATGAGACTAATAACCCTCATCCTACTGCATCATTTTGAGAGTTAAGGGAAAGAACGTAGTAAAGTGTCTGGTGAAGGTAAGCAGAGGGGAGCTGCTGTTAACTGTAGGGAAGGCCAGCAGGTTGACCTGGCCACAGCCTGGGTTCCACTGGGGCTGCACCTGCACAGAGGAGAGGCTCCATGGGGTGGAAGAACTTTCTGGAGCACATTCCTCATGCTGATTTTTTTTCTCCATATGTATATAACTCATGGGTTTAGACTTAGTCACAGTGTGTGAAAAGAGTATTGTCCTTTGTGGTAAAGCCAGTGTTCCCTGCCAGAGGAAGGCATCTGAGGCAACAGCAAGTGTGCTTTTCCTTCGGTGATGGATCCCTGTCTCCCTAAACGACCTCGATTCCCTTGCAGCCAGAGCTGTACATGGGAGAGACTGTCTCCGGAACTGCAGCCACTCTAGAATCCCTTGACTCGTAGCCAGACCCTTTACTGGCAGATGCTGCAGATCCTCCCTGGAGGTCTTACCCGAACCTTAGTGACCTGGGCCTGTGTGTCTGTGCGGACTTTGTGATCACATGTCCTTCCAGTGGTCCGTTCTGCCTTCAGCTGTCCTCTGCCCACCCTTTGGCAGTACCAGGCTGGGACCAGGTGGGAAGTAGCCCTACCTGTAATTTTGTCTTCCAGTGCTGCTCTTAGCGTACATGAAAGGGAATGCCAACTTGTGCCGCGCCATCGTCCGATCTGGGGCTCGCCTTGGGGTGAATAATAACCAAGGAGTCAACATTTTCAACTACCAGGTTGCCACCAAGCAACTTCTGTTTAGACTACTAGGTGAGTGGCCTATATTTTGCTCTTTCAGTGCAAGCAGTCACAATGTTAATTATCTAGATGCATTGGTGATCTTTAAATCTCATAGTAACTTAATCTGTGATCTGAACCAGTGGTTTTCAGGCACCACGTAGGACTATTTCTGTGGACAGGATGAAGGGCCTTTGAGCCAGTGCTCACTGGGTCACTGTTAGCAGTCCCTTCTGAGAGTGCTTCTTCGCCTAGGGCCCACTGTCAGTTTCCTACCTCCTCTGAACCTTCCAGAAATCCGCAAGCTCCAGGCAGGTCCCCCTTCCTGTGTCTCCTGGCTACTTATCTCCATGTGCATCCTCCTTAGTCTGACTCAGATTCTCTAGAGCCTTCAAAATGGCCTCTGTGTCATCCCATACTGATTCTTCCTTCTCCGTGTTTCTTCTGTGGGGAGGAGTGCTTCACTCTTGGTGACTTCTTATTTATGTCTTTCCTCCTCCCTGTTGGGGCGGTAGAGTCAGAATGTCTCATATGCCTGTGCTGTGTCCCCCACCTACAGTGGAGACAGGCAGAGAAGAAACAAGCTCAGAATACTGAGTAGACCATGTAGTCTCAACATAAGTGACTTACCCAAGGTTGCAAAGCTAGTTTGTGGCAGAGTCAGCATTAAAGCGCGGTGTTTGTGACATTGAGTTTACTTTACCTTTCCCTGTTGACCTTTGATGAGCTGAGCACCGGTGCCTGTCACAGTGCTGGTATGTAGAGGCGCTCTCTCCTGACAAGCTCAGTCTGCTTCTCTGTATTGAGCAGTCAGAACAGTACCTAGCACAGCATTAGGTTTCAGTAGATAAATCCTAGTGATTGTGGTTCCTGTCTACACTGAGAACTCCTAGCCTAAATGTGAAAAAAACTCCTCATCTGCTCCAGTTCTTTTTTCCTTGTCTCTTCTCTGCTGGTGGTCCCACCACAGACTCAGAGCCTTCACCCAGAAACCTGGGAGCACCTTTGTCTCTGCCAGCTCCCTGGCTCCTCTCACATACTGCACTTCTGTTTAATCACTGAGTCTTTGAGATTCTGCCTCTTCATTTTCTCATCTTGTACCCATCATCCATGTTCCCCTGACCATTTGGCTGCCTCCAGCTTTTCTAGCTGCGTGGTCTCCCTCCCCGACTGAATCTTACACCCCAGCCACCCCTGCCTGCATGTGTTGCCCCACAGACACTGTGCTGGTTCACCATGTTCACTACCACTTCCTTCTTCCCCAGTCTGCCTGGCAGATGCTGACCCTCCATAGTCTCCTCTGTGAAGCTTTCCCCCAGCCAGCTAGATGTTGCTCCTTCATCCCTCATGTCATGCTGCAACGAGTTGCTTTATTACTGATCTGTTTGCCTGCTTTCTGTAAGTTCTGAGTCTTGCCTGGCACAGTCACTGTTCGACAGAGCTAGTCTTTTCCTGTGTGTTACAGATATGCTGTCCAAGGAGCCTCCGTGGTGTGATGGCTCCAACTGTTACGAGTGCACTGCCAAATTTGGAGTCACCACTCGCAAGCATCACTGGTAAGACCCCACCATCATCACTGCCAGAGGAGCGGGAGCACTTCTGTTGAAGTCATTGCTTCCACCTTTTTCTTTTTCTTTTTTTTTTGAGTTGGAGTCTCACTCTGTCACCCAGACTGGAGTGCAGTGGCCACTCCTGGCCACCACAGCCTTGACCTGCTGGGCTCCGGCAATCCTTCCACCTCAGCCTTCCGAGTAGCCGGAATTACAGGCATGCGCTACCACGCCCGGCTGATTTTTTGATTTATTGTAGAGATGAGGTCTCACCAAGTTGCCAAGGCGGGTCTCGAACCCGCGGGCTCAGGCAATCCACTCACCTCGGCCTCCCAAAGTGCTGGGATTACAGACTGAGCCACCTAGCCCGGCCGTTTCCACCTTTTTCTATGATAAGCTGGGAACTTGCCAAGGCCCTGCACTCACCTGGGCAAAACTTGACCAGATGGAATGATGAGATGGCAGGACTGAGATGGCATCCAAGGGTCCAGCTGAGAAATAGAGATATAGGGAAGGCAGGGAACATGCAAACCATCACCTTCCTGCTGGAAGCTGAGGGCACACGGGCCCCAGGCAGCCTGCTGGCCTTGTGTCATCGTCCCTGAGTGCCCTGCTTGTGGCACAGCTGAGCCGAGTGACTCCCCTCATCGTGTGCCTGAGTATGGGCTGCTCTGCCAAGAACGAAGGCATTCCCGTTAAAACAAGTCATTCTTTTGCTAGTGCTGAGCTTCCTTGCTCTTTTAAAAAAGCCTTCTTCAGTATCGCTTTAACTTCATTACTGGCTAGAGTTTTGTTTTCATGGGTTAAAAATTCTACATGAATTATAACTTGGCTGGCAGGTGGCAGAGTTGACCACAAAACGCCAGTTGTGGCTGGCCTGTCTGCCGAAGACCATGTCGTGGTTGTCCTCATGTGCTGGGAAGTGTCTGCTGTTAGAACCCCTCTCACACTTCCTTTCTTTGCTTCCACAGTCGTCACTGCGGACGTCTTCTTTGCCATAAATGTTCAACCAAGGAGATTCCTATTATAAAGTTTGATCTGAACAAGCCTGTGCGCGTTTGCAACATTTGCTTTGATGTACTGACTCTGGGTGGGGTCTCTTAGCTCCCAGGAGGGTCCAGGCCATATCCCACCTCCCCAGCAGCTGCTCTGCTTATCAGCTGGCCCCCACCCAGAGCAGGAGCTGGCGGTCGTCTTCCTGCGGCAATAGACTGGAACACCTAAGGACCATGGTGTGATAGATCCCATTTCAAATGATTCCGTATGATTGTCAGTGTGTGTCAGACTGTGATTGATTTCACTAGATGTCTCACTAACTGGACCCGGCCATTTAGCCTAAGTGGTAAATGTGATTAGGAACTAGACCTCATTTTGCTAGCAACATACAAGGATACTTTGAAAACCATTTTTCCTTCCAGTAGCTTAGTGTCCATCTCAGAGCATTCATGAAGTCTTCCTGCCTGGGCTGATGTACGAGGCAGAGCCTTACAGAGTAGGAAGCTGGCTGCTTCGTGAGAGCTGGCTTTACTCTAGGGTAAGTGGCTGTGGACTTTTATGTACAGTGTTTTCATAAAGATAGTAGGATCCTCTTGCCCTGAAGTCTTTTTTTTTTTTAAAGCTAAGCTGTACTTTTAGTGAGCTACCCCTTTTAAAAAGGTGAAATCTTTCTAAACAGGGTTTAAAGATGAGAGCTGAAAAATCGTGGCCTTAACAACTGAAAGCTTTACCAGTGTTCATGCTACTGAGGTGTCAGGAGTGCAGTTTGCCAGCTTGATACCTCCTAGCAGCCATCTCATTCTCTCGTCTTGCTGCGTCCTGTCTGTGGAGTCCTCAGTCACTCTGCCACTGGAGAGTGGTGGAGGAAATGCACTTTTATTGTGCTGCACTTTTTATATAGCTGCATTATTGGTGATTCCAATTTAAAAATCCATATTCAAAAATACCCTCACGCATCCTTGCATCAGTGATTCTAGTGATTAGCTTTGACTGGACCTCAGCTCATGCTCATCTTAAAGGAAACACTCCTAGAGGGTGTCTTTTAGAGTAAGAGAATCATACAGGCCAGGTGATGAGAAGGGAATCAACAGGTTTCTACCCAGGGGCAGCTCCAGCCTCAGGCTGGCAGGTCTTTCTCCTGGACACAGGTGCTTGCTGAAACCCTCCCTAGGTAAGCTGTGAGTGCTGTTGGTCCCAGTTCTGTGTAGCTTGCCCCGCCCCACTCAGGGCTAACAGTGAAGGCCCTGGCCAAGTGTGTGCATCCTCGTTTTGGAAGGCTCTGGCTTTTGTGCTGAACGAGGCTGCCCAGGACTTGTTAGGCCTTAGTTGCTGTGTATACATGAGCCCTGAGGTTTAAATTGACTTTTTTTTTAAGGTTTGGCCAGTTTTTTTAAAAAAGCACATTTAAAAAGAAACTTCCACCACTGCTTTAATAAAAACAAACAACTCTGAGATGAACAATATGTGTTATACAGTTGTACTCAAAGATTAACCGTCTCAATCATACATACTGATTTTTTCAGATATTTAATAACCACTACACTTTTTTTGTGTTAATGAAGTATGAATATCTGTGTAAAAGGGACTAAGTTTTTTTTTTTTTTGCAGCAGCCTGTTTTTTTGTTTATTTCTTTTTTGGATAGTGGTATGTCCTCTATGTTGCTGTAGACTTATACATTCTGTTGCCTAAATATGTGTGTAAAATGAGCTGATAAACCAGAGTGCTACTTTTTAAAAAATATTTCTGTGATTTATTATATATACTTTCTGTGTTAATATGAGCTTGTGTACAATGTTTAAAAGAAAAAAATTAATTAGAAGAATTCCCCTGTCCCCCTGTGGCATACTTCATATAGAATTTTAATAGAAAAACTTGGCTAACATTTGACCATGTGAGGCATGTGGTCAATTTCCATGTTCTATTGCCTGAAAAGGGCCACAAGGAAGCAAGGCTTCATTAGCTAGCTTGGTTCTTTTATTAGGACAGTAAGATAATCAATCATGGTTGATAAGAATTTGGTGGTCAGTACCTAGACAGTTGTTCTTTTGATGTGAACAGTGGAGAGGGGAGGATGGGAATTCATTGGGATGAGGCCAGTTGTTCTGCCCTTGCCCTGCCATAACAATTTCAATAACAGTCTTGCCTGTAATTGCACTTCAGATCTTAAGATCATGTTTAAAATATGTTGCTTCTGTTTCTCCCACTGAAGGAAAGCAATGGTACTGACCAGCCATGGATTGGGGGAACATACTTTTTGAGTTCTCCATTGGCTTCAAGGTGCATTCATGTGAATATAGAAAAAGCACCTGTCCACAGTCTTCGGAAACCTCTCTGGCCTTGTTGATGCTCACTGGGCAGCCCTCAGCAGGTTCCTTGAGTGGGAGCTGTTCCAGTGGGACTCCAACATACACTGCCCTGGCTGGATCTAGGCACGCGCTGACCCTTTTGTGCTCTCCATGCTGTCAAGGCTTGAGTGCAAAACTGCCTAGCTGTTCTTATTAAATTTGAATCAGTAGCTTAAGTACTAGTAGCAAAAACAATTTTATTCATTCAGAACGTTGCCAATTGTGAATGGGTAGAGCAGGAAGAATAAACTTTACTGAAATATAAGTTGCTGCATCAGTCGACATTGATACGCTGAATTAACTTTTTAACTGCCTCTTGCTCATCACCAGATTTATTATACAGTGTACTCTTAACCTTTTTTTGTTTTTAAGATAAAGGTACAAACCATGTGCTATATATACATTGAATGGCTTAAACTAATTTGCTGTGATCCTGCAACACAGAGATTTCCCGCCAACTTAAGTGCCTACACTTAGGACTTGTTAACTTTCAGTTATTTTTTCAGTGGTGTCTCATTGAAGGATGTATTGGAACACGTGTTCCATTTGGAGTTGGGGCCTGTGCACTTGTCAACCTGTTGCCACCTTAGTCGAGGCTGCTTAGATTGCTCAGTTCACCTGCCACGCTCTCTCTAAGGAGCAGGGTCCACGTGACCTGTAGTTCTCTACCTCAGATCCCTGAGTCATTTCCGACCACCCCGTTCAGCGTCCTCACTCTTCCCCCTGAATGGGTCCCCTTGCGGAGCTCTGTGTGCCTGTGGCTTTGCCGCTCTTCCCAGTTCATGCCCCATGCCTGTTGTATTGAACCATGACTGTGCTCATCTTGTCCACAGGCATGGAGTAGAGGGAAGTCTTGGGACAGGGTAGAGCCTCGACCTCCATCTCGGTTTCCTTTATCCAGAGAAAAAACACTTCTGAACCATGTAATGCCTAGACCTGAAGGGCAAACTAACTTCCCAGGTGGCAGTAGCATGAGCAAGTAAATATAATGCTTCCATGACAGACACTTGCTTCCCTCAGGACAAGCCCCAGAAGAACTACCTGAAGCCAGAGCTCCCTGCTTCCAGCCTGGGAGAGGAGAAAGCCAAGGGGAAACAACTTGCCAAAGGGATGTGGAAGCCATCTTCTCACTTTGTGGAAGTAATTTAGTGAGGAGACGACTGTCTGACAAGATGTAAACTAAACACTTAAATTCCCAGAAGTTATAGATGCCTTAAAGACTTTCTTTGGAAGATCATTACCTGTACAGTTCCTTTTTTGTGTGGCATAAATAATATATTGACCTGATTCACCTGACAACATTGGCTTTCTGCAGCTAGGGAGTGTTGAGTTGACACTGCTCAACTTGATGACTTGCCCTTCTTGGCAAATGTCGGAACTGGCTATGTGGCCCCCTGTGTGATCCCAGGGAAAGGGCAGGAGCTGGGCAGAAACTGCAGGCACACACTCGGGTCGGTCACCTTGGCTTCCAAACCATTCGGGTGGTGCTCAGTTTGGGGTGACGGTATCATATAGGACCATGGCGCTTCTCAGCATTATTTCTTTGGAGTCTGTGTAATGGAATGTATTTTTCAAATACTGATATTTGCATTTTCTGTAACAATTCCTTATAATAAAATGAGGTAAAATTGTGCATTTAAAGTGGGAACTTTAATAAGACATTTGTAGTTACTTCTAATGCAGAAGTACCAATAAGCATTAAAAACAAAAAAACTCCTGATATGTGAATACTTTCTTTAACAGCTACCCTCTAGGAAAACTTAAATTCCAGCATTTTTCAGAAACATACTGTTGACAGCAGTCAAAAAGTTATTTTAGATATAGTGAGTAACTTCCTGAATGAACTGTGCGCTCTTGGCTGACTTCACTATATGGCAGCGAGTGTGCTCACTGCTACACCGTCTCATCGCCTGACCCCGCTGACATTCTCCAAAGGACACCAGAAATTCCCTCTCTGTCTCCATTATTTGGGAGCAACTCAAGAGCATCCATGCATGGGGAGTCTTCTGCTGGCCGAGAGCTGAGGGGTGGGCTGGCACTGTGGGCTTCCGAGACCACTAAGGCAGGTTCCAGGGTTTGCAGGTTAAAATCTAGTGATCCAGAGAGCCCCTGTACAAATCATACAAGTGGAGCAACTCACCTGGCCCTCACATTTCCTTTAAGTACTATATTCCCTTTCTTTGCCTGTCTTCCACTTTGCTTACCCTTAGGTCAGACCAACTGTGTCATTCTCTGGTGGTTTTTCTCTCATAGTGAATATGCACTAAATGCTTCCACATAATAATCCCAAGTAATCCTAATAGCCTGAGGTGAACAGCACAAACCACTGTCACTGGTCATGATAGGTGTCACACAAACAGTAACCAGGTGCTTATCCATTGCCATGCTCTTTTTTTTTTTTTTTTTTGAGTTGGAATCTTAATCTGTCACCCAGGCTGGTGGGCAGTGGCACGCTACTGGCCACCGCAGCCTCAACCTGCTGGGCTCAGGCGATCCTTCCGCCTCAGCCTTCCAATAGCTGGAACCACAGGCGCACACACCACCATGCCTGGCAATTTTTTTTTTCTTTTTTTTGAGTTGGAGTCTCACTCTGTCACTCAGACTGGAGTGCAGTGACTGCTCCCAGCCACCGCAGCCTCGACCTGCTGGGCTTGGGCGATCCTTCCGCCTCAACCTTCCAAGTAGCTGGAACTATACAGGCGTGCGCTACCACACCCGGCTAATTTTTTGATTTATTGTTTTGTTTTTTGTTTTTTTGAGTTGGAGTCTCACTCCATCGCCCAGACTGGAGTGCAGTGCCCGCTCCCAGCCACTGCAGCCTCGACCTGCTGGGCTCTGGCGATCCTTCCGCCTCAGCCTTCCAAGTAGCTGGAAATACAGGCACGTGCTACCACACCCGGCTAATTTTTTGATTTATTGTAGAAATGAGATCTTACCAAGTTGCCCAAGCGGGTCTCGAATTCGCAGGCTCAAGCAATCCACTCACCTCAGCCTAAATTTTTTTATTTATTATAGAGATGAGGTCTCACCAAATTGCCCAGGCTGGTCTCAAACACGCGGACTCAGGCAGTCCTTTCACTTTGGCCACCCAAAGTGTTAGGATTATAGGCAAGAGCCACTGCACTCGGCCAACTTCCACACATTTTTGCCAGTCAGGGAAAAACCCTGGGTTTTGGTTCTGCTTTTTTCATTGACTAGCTGATAGTACTAGGCAATTTTTATAATTTCTCTGCCTTTGTTTCCCTATCTATACAATAGAAGTGATCATGGTCCTTCTTACAGGGTTGCCTGGAGGAAGGTGATCAGTAATCATCATAAATAGGTCCTTCCTTTCATCCAAATACTTGGATTCTGGTGTGTGCATACCATGGCCCCTCTGGTGAGGGCTGATGGCAGCAGTGTTTGCTGCCCACTTGAAGGTATCTGGGGGCTCTGGCAGTAGGACGTGCTCTCAGGGTGAAGTTCAGCCCAGGGTCATCATCCTCCAAGGATTACCTGCAGATTTCTGTGCAGGCACCGTCCTGACCTCCCCTGGGGTCAGCTTTCAGAGCACAGCTTTGCCTAGAGCAAGGCAAGCAAGGGATGGGACATGGTCTGCTGAGGCTCCCTTCATTGTGCAGTGGCAGAGCTGTGACCACAACATCCCAGACTTCACTCTTAGTTCTGTGTGTAGAGAAAACTCGAAAGCAGATGTTGAGAATTCCTTCAAGATGCTGGAGGGCAGCCACCCAGCCTTGGCCTTAACACAGCTCATTGGTATGGCAGGGAGATCAGACGTAGGTGTCAAATGATGACTGCCATAATTATTAGAGAAGTTGGGGGATACCTCTAACCCCTTTCTGGGCTATAAGATGGGAACTTCTCAAGGCTAGCATCAGGATTAAATGTGAGAACAAAGCTCTCTACACAGGGCCTGGCCCAGCAATTGCCCAGCACATGCTAGTGTTCTCCATTTCCCTCTGCCAGCAAGTTTACCTGCATGCTCAACCTGAGCTGAACTTCCTGTGGCTTCCATCAGGAAGGGCTGCCCTCCTCCTCCAGTTTTGCTCAGGGCTACTTTTACTGGAGAGAAAACAGAGGCATTTACCAGGTTCTCACCGTTGAGCCCTTCAGACTGTGAAAATGATCACCTATTATTTTTTTTGTTTTTGAGTAGGAATCTCACTGTCGCCCAGGCTGGAGTACAGAGGCACACTCATGGCTATCACAGCCTTGACCTGCTGGGCTCAGATGATCCTTCCGCCTAGGTTTTCCAAGTAGCTGGAGCTACAGGCGCACGTAATCACGCCTTGCTAATTTTTTTATTTATTGTAAAGATGAGGTCTCGCCAAGTTGCCTAGGCTGGTCTCAAACCCCTGGGCTTAGGCAATCCTTTCACCTCGGCCTCTTAAAGTGCAGGATTACAGGCGTGAGCCACTGTGCCCAGTGACAACCTATGCTGAATCCTTTACCCTGGCATGAAGCAAGCTCTTTAACAAAGGCAAGTGGTCAGTATCAAAGAGGAAATGGACTCTCAGTAAGCAAGGAACTGAGCAGACTCCTGAGGCCAGCCAAGTCTGTCCTAGAGCACAGTTCAGGGGTCTTAGATCAGTCAGAGATCAGGCACCCTCTGGATATGGCCCAGCCCACACCTGGCTGCAGTGAATTGCCCCGTTTTGCTCCTTTTTCATTCAGTTTGGTTTGGGGGAGGGTCTGAACATCTCTGGGTCTGGCCTTCACACTTACTGCATTCCTACCCCAAGAGTGGCCTTCGAGTGCTCTAACTAGGGCTTTACTCCACCCTGCTGTAAGCCCCTTGAGGCCAGAAGCTTGCCTCCAACCATCCCCCAACCCCAACACGGTGCCTGGCACATAGTAGGCAGTTGGCAAGAATTTGCTGAAAGACTAAAGAAGAGCCAAAGCAGTGGCAGTAATAAGTTTCCAGTTAACAGAGAAGCCTCAGGCAGTGAGCTCAAGGGCTGTCTGGAACTTGGACCAAGATCCTGATTTCAGCTCTCCTCCCTTCTGTCTATTCTTACTCCTGCTCCTGGTCCTGCTCCAGCGAGGGCAGAGACAAATATGGAAAAGTGAAAATAGCACTGACTCAGAAGTCAAGAATCTCGAGTTCTAGATTCAACTCCATGCTCTGTGACCTTAAGTTCTATGAGTTGCATTATCTACAAAATAAGAGCTAACTCTGCACTGTGGAAATGGACGTACAAAGCTGAAGAGCCCTTGGTGTCTCTTTCCTCAGACTCTGAGGTCCAGTGCAAGAGGCTGATGGGAAATTCATGGTTAAAACCCACTGTGGCATACATTCTTTTAGAAATGAGCAAGCACAGTGCCAAGGAAACCTCAGGAAAGTGCACCTGCTGGGACAGTGGTTAGTGAAGGCCCCCAAGAGGGCCCTGATTGAACTCAGTATTGAAGACACAGAGGTGGACTTGCTGAGTGGAGGAAGGTGTCATTCCAGGCAGAAGCAGTAGCTTGTGTGCAGCGAAGGCAGTGAGAGAAAGGCTGGAGAGGAGGGTGCACAAGGGAGGTGACGGGAAAGGTCCAGAGACGAAGACGTGGGCCAGAGAAGGCCTCCTGGGCCAAGGAGCCAAAAAGCTGGCACTTGCTCCTTAGAGACGTGGGGAGCTACGTGGAGAAGCTTAAATGAGGAATGGCCTGATCATCAAGAAAGATGACTCAGCCAGGCACAGTGGTTCAAAGGCCGAGGTGAGAGGATTGCCTAAGCCTGAGGGTTTGAGACTAGCCTGGGCAACTTGGTGAAACTTCATCTCTACAATAAATAAAAAAAATTAGCCAGGCATGGTGGTGCACACCTGTAGTTCCAGCTACTTGGAAGGTTGAGGCAGAAGGATTGCCTGAGCCCAGAAGGTTGAGGTGGTGGTGGCCATCAGTGTGCCATTGCACTCAATTCTGGGCAACACAGTGAGACTCCAACTCAAAAAAAAAAGAAAGATGAGCCGGGCTCGGTGGCTCAGCCTGTAACCCCGTGCTTTGGGAGGCTGAGGTGAGTGGATTTCCTGAGCCCACAGGTTCGACACCCACCTGGGCAACTTGGTGAGACCTCATCTCTACAATGAATCAAAAAATAAAAAAAATTAAAAGAAAGATGGCTCAGTGTGGAGGATGGACTGGAGGAAGAGAGTGTAGTTAAGTTCCTGCTGTAATTCAAGTGAGAAATGACAACCTAAATCCAGAGGAGGAGTACTGGGAACAAATAAGAGGGAACATAAAGGAGAGAACTGAGGAGGGAGAACTTCCAGGTCTTGCAGACTGTTTGGGAGGGGAAGAGGGAACTGTGGGTGATTGCTGGGATTCTTTTTTTTTTTTTTTTTTTGAGTTGGAGTCTCACTCTGTCACCCAGGCTGGAGTGCAGTGGCATGCTCACAGCTGCCAGAGCCTCCACCTGCTGGGCTTAGGCGATCCTTCTGCCTTAGCCTTCCAAGTAGCTAGAATTACATAGGATTCTTACTTGGCCTGATGGTTATAATGGGGGTGCCATTCACTTGGAGAACTAGAAGAAGCACAGGACGGGAAGATGAATGCCAGTGGAGCTTCTGGAAAGCTGCAGAATACAGGTTTGGTGGTCTAAGTGGCAGCTACATTTGGAGTGAGAAGAGCTAGGGGAAGGGGATCGGTGAAGGTGACTAGGCTTTCAAGGCAACTGAGAAGGAAAGTCCAGAGGGAGAAAAGGGAAGCAGGACAAAGCCAAGGGAGAGCCCCATGGTCAAGTGTCAGGTGCGATGGAGAAAAAAGTAGAGAAGAATTGAGTGTGACGTTGAGATGGGCCAGTACAGTCCTGCTGTTGAGTAAAGAAGGCAGCTGGATGCTGCACAGAGAATGGGGGCTGAAAAGCAAAACTAGTGAACATAGCTGTTTCTTCAAAAAGCTTGGCTGTGCTAGCCTGTAGATATGGTAGCTATGGAAAACCGAGGGGCAAGCTGTTTAATGAGTACTTAGGAGGAAGAGCCAGGAGGCAGGGAGAGGTTAGAGACAGGAACTGAGGAAGAGCCTGGGGTGGCGAAAGGAGCCACGAGTCACAGCCCAGGTGAGCACCACACTGTGGCCACGAGGGCAGTGAGACACGAGTCAGCCGGTGAAGGGATGCAGCCTCCATTTTCTACCAGTGAAACTGGACAGCTATTGAGTGAAATCTGATGGAGGAGAAAAAGGAGAGAGAGAAAGGAGGAAGGACGGGATATCTAGAACGAGAGTTGAGGAGAGTGGGAGAAGAAGCTGAGGTGAAGGCTCGGATGAGGCGAGGCCATGGCTCTAGAAGGGCGCCAGTCTTCACTTCCTTGTCTGTGAAGTAGAACACTCCTGTTCCCATCTACTTCACAAGTCAAGTCAAGAACTAACGGGTATAACATTTGCCACTGTAGGAGATTCTTGATGACCTTGGACATACAAACTGGACAAGTTGCAAGCCCAGCCATCTTAAGTTTGCCTCCTTGCCCAAACTTTGACGTGATGCTAATCAGTTACCTTGTTAGAGCTGCGAAACCACCTTTTGTTCAAAATGTAGACTTCTCTTTTTGAAAATACCCACGCCTGATTTTGTCTTCAAATGAGAGAAAATGTCTTTACTTTACATTTTTGTCTCATTCAGAAACATCTGGATTTGCTGCATCCATAAAAGCAAGAGCTTTTCCATTTCCAGAATTAGCCTATCCTATTATCATCTCTTACCGTATTGGCCCAGCTGTAATCAACTCAGTGGGCTCTTGGTTGGAAATTCAGGTCTGCCTTAGGGTAGAGGCCTTACTTACAAGAAGGCCTCTACTTGTAGAAGGGAATCCAAGACAGAGTTATGTGGAAAATGCATTTGCTTGTTTCTGCTCAGCAGTAGAGAATGATGCAGTCCCTTTTTGCCAGTGCTCCAGATGCCCTAACAGGGTTGGAGTGATAGGCAGGACTCAGGTTGGCAGCAGATGCAGGCAGCCTGGAAGTCCATGGGAGTAAAGCCTTGGAGCTCAGGGACTTTTGAGTTGGCTACATTTGTGCCCACTAATATCTGAGGGCTCCGAAGGTTGCATGTGGATCTAGGAAAACTGGTAAAAATGGGCTGACCAGGACTAGGCTGGTTGCTGAACCTCCCCTCAGTCACCAGAACGGTGAGCCCATGACGAGGGGGACGAGTTACACCTGCGCAGCCAGTGTTTTTCCAGACCCTCCTGTTTCATGCCAGGTGCCATCTTAGGGTACACAAGTGTCTAAGGCCTATTGAGTTCTAGGCAGGGCTGGGTGCTATCAACACACACAGCTCCAGCTCAGAGTGGGAAGGAGCAGGTGATGGCTAGAGGTGGGCAGCCTGTGTATTCCCCCAAGTGTGGGTGATCCAAGTCCCCACGATTTCTGTGTGTAGGGTTGTCCGATGTCTGGTCACTGGGGGGGCCAGTTGTTCTCACACACACGCAGTGGGGCTCCTTGGCACCTGGCTTATACAGCTTCCTGGGGACGCCAATCCAGTCTCTGCTCACACCTCCACTGAGGATAGAAGGAAAGAAGAGTTTGTAAAGTGTGAATGCATGAGTCCAGGAAGGGAGAGGAGGAAGTAGTGAGTCAGACCTTCTGAAGAGTAAAAGCCACTCCACTTCCTATCTTGGCATTTTCTCAAGGCAGCAGTCTGCAGTGTTCAGCCCCTGAGCCTTCACATTCTCTCATAACTTCCTCCAACTTCCACCTAGGCACCAATACCAGTTTCTCTAGGCCAAAGACAGAGTCCATGGTTCCCTTCAGCATGCTTCCCAGCCCCCACCCTGTCCTTTCTGAGGAGACAGTACCACTTCCCTGCACTGGTAGCAACAGCTCTGAAAGCTCACTGGCCTGAGCGTCTCCAAAGCAGTATCTGGGTCTGATTCTTTCTCCCTTCTCTGCTACATTCCAATACAGGGCAGTGCCTTGATCTTAGGGTCTGGGGCACTTGGGTGGGGGTAACCAATTTAGGCAAAAACCCATTTGGGGTCCATTGGGTCTTGGCCAACTGGTCAGCCTTCTTGGGAAGCCCTTGGCAAAGGGGTAATTGCAAGCTGTCCTTTTCCCTGCACAGGTCCAGTCCTTGATGTCACTGGGCTTCAAAGATGGAGGATTCAGCTCTGGCCCAATATAGCCTGAGCAACCTCCTGACCTGGGCAGAGGATAGCTTGTCTTAGAGTACTGAGTTTAGGCTCTCAGACTCACAGGCCTTACAAAAGGAAAATAAGCTTCTTGGAATTAATGCTTCATATAGGCTCCAGTGCCTGGGACCAGGATCATTTGTCAGAGAAACTGCCCACCAGTTAGAAACCATCCCACTTCTGGCTTACTAGGAATAAGGCCACCAGGGCACATCTCTCATCTCTTGCCTCATCACACCTGGTCCCTGCCTTCAGAGCTCATTCCTCCCAGTCTAATGGTGAGTAGAAAACAACAAATTAGACTGAGGCACAGGGATGGGGCCCTTAAATTCATTGAGGGTGGGTCTGGAAGGGTTTTGTGGGGGAAGAGAGTGACTGAACAACTTAGTCCTGAAAGGAAGAAGGTGTTCATCAGACAGAAGGAGAAGATGGGGGAGGGAGGGGAGGCAGGCTCTTCAAGGGAACAAAGTCAGGCATCTGGATGCACACAGTCCTCCCAGTACCCTCCTATGGAGAGTGTTCTCTGAGGCCACCTACATTCAGGCTGTGCCCCGGAAAGACCACCCATGTCCTAGCTGGGTTTACAGCTCCCTCTTTCTTGAGACATGATGAAACTGGGAAGCTGTGTCTCTTCAAAACTGTGGCCAGGAAAGAAGGGGTGTTTCTTCCTGGTACCTTCACCCCTGCTCCCCTGCATTAAGGTGGAGGAAATGTATGATAGATCCAGTGGTGGACCTGGAGAAAGCTGGTGATGTTGACTGTTTTGCTTTCATCTACACAATGAATCCAGGAGAGCAATGAGGTGGAGTTGAAGAGGGTGAGTGTGCACAGCTTAGCACTTAGAGACATGGCCCTTCTCCCATTAGGGACAGCGGAGAGTTCCCAGAAGGTCTGTACAGATTCTGGCTTCCTTTTTCCCCTTACCAGAGCTAGAGGAGATCTGAGGGATTCAGTTTGAAGTCTGAGTCCAGACTGGCCTGATGACTAAAGCAGGAAAAAAAACTTTTTCTCCAGCTTACCTCACTTTATTCTTACAGGAATTTCTAGACTGCTCTGCTGGAGTGTGTGTGTGTGTGTGTGTGTATGTGTGTGTGTGTGTGTGTGTGTGTGTGTGTGTGTTTCCTTCAGAGATAGGGTCTTGCTATGTTGCCCAGGCTGGACTGGACTTCAATTCCTGGGCTCAAGCAACCCACCTGTCTCAGCCTAGTTAGCTAGGACTACAGGAGAAAGCTACCACGCCCACCTTGCAATGTTTTTAAGACAGCACCTCAGGGTATCACTGCATGTACCCTCCCACCTCCTCATCTCTCTCTCCTGTAGGCAGGAATGATTTGTGCTGACAAACAGGAAACCAAGGCTGGACAGGACAAGCAAGTAAGAAATTGTACTTGTATCTTCTCACTCCCAGACTAAGGTTTCTTCAGCAGAGTCTCTGGGGGAATTTGGGGAAAATAAAAATAAAAAGATGCCCCCAAAAAAAGAAGAAAAAGAAATAAAAAGATGCCCAGGTCCCAAGTCCAAGTCTCAACCCTGATATTCTCATTCAGTTGACCAGAGTGAAGTTCCACCATCAGTGATTTTTAAAATTCCCCAGAAGATCTAATACGCAGCCAAAGTTGAGAATCATTATCATGAGTATTTCTGAAAAAGCTCCCCTGGGTTAACAATTCCCCTTTACTCCCTAGACTCCCCGAATAATGTGGAGAGATTGTCTTGCATGTCTGACGTGGTACAGAGGCAGGAAGGAGAAGGGAAGCCTGTTTACCTCTTTTGGGAACACCAGAACCGGCTGCCCCTGGTTGAGCTCCACTCAGCATTGCACGGTGGAAACTTCTGCTTCTCTTTCAGTTCCCGTTTATTTGCCTCCAAGCCTTGGGTGATCATGGCTTCTACCTGGGCCAGTTCTGGGGTGGGCAGCCCATCCTCTCCGTAGAACCTTCCTATCACCCTTCCTGTGGTGACAGTAACAGTAGGGGTGAGGTGTGAATAGATGCTTCGCTTCTTAAGCAGTTGTGGTAAAGCTCACGTTCCCAGGGTTTCTGACTTCAGTAGCCTGCTGGTACTCATGTACTGATCAGAGGGACTTCTGTCTGGTGCCTCCTCGTAACCTCTCCCAGCACCTTGCAAGACCCCAGGTGAAGGCATCCCTGTTCTAGCTGTAGAGTCAATTAGTACAGAAGCAACTGAATCCTTCTCACTCCCAGACAGCAGTCCCCTAAGTGAAGCCACCTGTGGTTCATTTTGTGATGCTCCACAGTGCTTGATGCACACAGTAGGTATTCAGTTAATGTTTGATGAATGAATAGTTTATGGGCTAACATTTTTGTGGCTCAATTTTTCCCAACATCAAATTATTGTTATATATAAGTCATTTATGAAACAGTTACTCAATGCTAGACACTAGACTAGCATTTTACCAATATTTTTAGAACTCTCTTAACAAACCTACGGAGAGAAATCATTGTTCTCGTATTTTTAGGATACTGGAAGGTTACGTGACTTGGTGAAGTTTATGAGGCTAGTGAGTTACTCTGGCTCCAAGCCCATGCTTTTCTTCCCATAGCTCTCTTCTGGCTCAGTATCAGAGACAGAAGTGAGTGGAAACAGTTTTCCTTTAAAATGCCTCTTAGATTTTTTTTTTTTGGTAGAAAGGGGCCTTACTGTGTTGCCCCTTATTACAGCCTCAAGTTTCTGGGTTCAAGTGATCTTCCTGCCTTAGTCTCCCAAGCAGCTGGGACTACAGGCATGAGCCACCATGCCTGGCTCTAAAATGCCTGCCAGAATTTTTTATTTTTTTTTTTATTTTTTTAATTTTTTTTTTATTTTTTTTTTGAGTTGGAGTCTCACTCTGTCGCCCAGACTGGAGTGCAGTGGCCGCTCCC